CCCCCCCCCCCAATAAAAACAACTGTAACAGATGTGGTTGTGGACAGTGAAACCGCTCAGTCAGTAACTGAAGGAGCACTCCAGTTGTATTAGAAATAGTACTAGCACAGCTGGAGCTATAACTGCTATTCTTTTAACTAATGCTGAAAAAAAACTGTATCCCGTTAAAATGAAATCTAATAGGGCAGGTGACTAAAACCTACCAGAGACGAACTCTGAATATGAGTACATCTTCTCAGTACAGTGATTCATTAACAAATTGTAACCGAAGCCACTAAATTAAACTAAACTGTATCATAATGCTGCTGTAGCGAACAAATGTCCCCTTGCGGGATTAAATCCTGTTGTCAGTGCCTCTCAAACAAAGTTAATCTCCCTATCAGATTTATTTTCAGACTTTCCTTCGCAGATAGGAAAATTAAATACTTTGGATCTCCATTCCATTTATTTCCATCTGTAAATCCTTAGCTGAAGCATCAGCCCCAGTTCTGCCCACACCAGAGGCCTTTGCCATTATAGCCCTAAAATAGATGGTTTAAACCGATTGACTGCTTTTGACTTTTAAAACCATATTGACAGATACCTCTGTGTCGAGGGATGTGTCCAATCCCTTTGAAAAAGTAGTTTATGGTTTTCTTATATTCGGACGGTGCAGTGAGATGAGAGACGAGCATTGGTTCATGAGCATAGCCTTCCATTACCCGTCTGTAAAAGCCTCTGTAATAACCAATCACAAGCCCCCTCTGTGTTATGAGATAGCTTTTCTGTGCCAGGACTCTACAGACACCCAGAATTCTTCAACAATCGGCAATGCTTAAGATTTCTGTTATTGTTATAGTTAGGTTTCATGCCAACCCCCATAATCCCATAAATGCCACATGGGATACTTAACCCACTACTTTATTTTAGTTGGAAAATCAAATATATGTGGTAGACCATGCATAGTCCTTACGCAGGTTACGCAATTAAACAGCAGTGAATCGTTGCTGGATTCATGACTAGTTCTGCAGGATTGCATTCATTTTTTAGATTATCGTTCCAAAATATAGTCTATTGAAAAATCATGGCAGTAGTTATAGTATTTGTTTGAACACTGTTTACATCTCTGTGTTTTTTGGAGGTTTCTGTCCCACTGTAACACTTAAGTCACCGCTAGATCAGAGTGCACGACTGGTTCCTGAGGTGAGTGTTTGCACTTCAGATACAGGCATTAGCCGTCAGTGGCAGACTCTGGCTCAGGCCCAGCGTGCCGCAGCCTCACAATGAGCTCACTGTCGTGAGCTGAGATCAGCTCACCCTCCTCCCTCCTCCCCTTACTGGGAGAAACACAACATGCAGAGCTGCTGTGTTTATGTCAAGGCCGCAAGAAATATCAATTTCAGATACTGCTATTAGATATCGGCCCAATACCGACTCAAATAGCTTGATCGGGTATCGTGACAATAGGGCGATCTGGTATTGGGTACCATTATTTTCTAAAACAATAATTAAGTACATTTATATCTTAAGAAAGCAATGTTTAAGTTAAGCCTGATGTTGCTTTACACATAACAGAATGATCCCAATCCCAGGTATCGGTATCTGGACTGAATAAGTTGGGTTGGTGCTTCCCTAATTGATTTCCCTAATGTTTTCTTTCTGTGTTGCCCTGAAAAAGGTCTGGATTCAGTACTTAAAATCATATTCTAACTTCTCAGCTTTCAATTTAACTAAAAATGTTCTATGACCTGGGGGAATCTAAACTGACTGGCCAAGATAATGGAGTCATGTGGAGCTGGCAAGATCATTACCAATCATGTGAAAACCACAAAACAGTCCTCATGACAATTTAGTAATGTTACGGAAATAACAGCCCCCTGTTTGGGTAGTTCTCATCTGCACAGACCCACAATCCTCTGCCAATCAGCACTCGACAGTCTGGAGAGGTTGTTAGGGCTGCAGCAGTGCTGGCAGATTGGTGAATGGAAATGAGAGGTCTCACAGTGACTGGATCACATCTTTCCACTGGTGTCTGCAGCCAGCCTGATAAAGGAGACACTAGTGCTCTGCGCGGTGTTGTGTTGTGTCCGATTCAGATAGGGATGTGAATGTAAAGAGAAAGAGGGGAAAAAAGAGGTGGTGGCTAATGATGGATTGTGTTTGCATGTGTGTTGTCGCGCACAAAGTAGCAGTCGACGTCGCAGCTTGAGAGATCCTGAAATGTTGGGGTAGCTTTAGCGTGCGTGTACTTGCGTGTGTGTGTGTGTACTTGCATGCATGTGTGTGAGGCCAATTCCCGTTGTTACAGTGCTTAGCTACAGGAAGTTCCCGGTCAAAGCCAGGAAACCCACGTTGTCCCTGGTGAGCCATTCAGCTGTGTCCTCAGTCGGATAACTTTCCATCATTTTACCCCCAAAGGAGCACAGTCAGCACTTCAGTCCAGGAAACCTTCACCTCTGGCAGAACGGTCCAGCCTGGGACTCAACATGCACAAAACGAGTTGACGTATTCACAGCATGTCTTAGAGCAGTGGTTCCTAAACCTTTTTGGCTTGTGAGCCAATTGAAACGAGGCAATGTTTACTTGTGACCCCTCTTCACATGTCATGGCCTTCAAGGATGCGTATTTCCCTGAGTTATTGATGGCTCACCAAGTCGATCTACTAATGCAGCAGCTTGCCAATCACCGGCAACTCTTTCAACTGACAGACGTGTTGACTTTGCAATACAGTTAGCGTGTTAATGGGCTAAGAGATCAGGCCTCTTGATGAGCAGGCGCTTACTCATCAAATACAGGAAACTGTCTTTGCTAGAATGAAATGAGATGGATGCCCAGTTAATCTTAAACTGTCTGTTTTGAGTCCATTGGGATTAACTGCTTTTTTGCTGTTCAAACGGAGCCAAACTGCAAGTATAACGTACCGACAATAAATCCATACTATTTGATTTCATGTTGTGGCGACACGACAGCATTTAATCAAGAAGCTGACACCTCAAAACAAAAACAAAAAAAACATTCAAATATTTCAACACAATGTGACATAGTAGGCAGTCCATATACAATGTTCAAGTGCAATTCAACTGTTTCCAAAGATGAATGGATTATCTTAATATATAATAACTTACTCATGACATACAGTAGGTCTTACTGAATGAATCTTACACAGTTGCAGTGTCGGGGCCGTCGCTTTAGCTCTGCGTGAACAGTGCAACATTAGGTAAATAGAGTGAAGAGAGTCTGATGACTTTTATCTAATCTTTGGAGTTCTTGCTGCTCAACCAGCTATGTGACTTTAAGAGGGGCCCTGTCCCTGTGGTGGGGGGGGGGGGGGGGGGGGATTGGCGGGAAGACAAAGTCGTTTTTTCTCATGACATCGTCACCATTATATCCCGGGCCTCTAGATGACTCTGATTTGCCTCACTTCACACTCACAAGACACTCCAAACAGGAATACCCCGGAGGTTAAGAAGATGCATTGCATGTTATGTGTTATTGCCACATGACCACAGTGCAAATTGCCCTCAGCACTGCACACATTGACATAATGTGAAAAAAAAAAAATAGTTGGATCAGTCTTTGTCTCACATTTCATTTAATAAATCAGCTGACCTTTGCATTATAAAAGTCTACATTTCGTACATCCCGACCCGAACACGGAACAAAAGTAAAAAGCAGGCGTCTTTAACCACTTTCAAATGTGGTGAATAGTTTAGCCGTGAAACACATTCAAAGGAGACTTTCTCTCCCGGATGGTCCGCTGGGGACATTTAGGGACATAGGAATCTTCTTATCTGTGTAGATTGTAAATGGGCACTATTGTGTATAATGGGGCCGGATGAAGAGTCGATCCAGATATTAGTTTCTGCAGATATGCTTGTAGCCGTGTAAATGTCGACGTGTAACTAACAAGAAATGTCAGTAGAGAAAATCCAAACTAAGTTAGAGTTCAGTTAGAAAGTCATGCAATAGACAGCAGTCTCTTTACCAACATAGAGCTGACATTACAGTTGCCTTATCTCTCCCGTGCAGCGACTTGACTTCACAGTGCCACTTCTCTGCATTTCTGACGTTGCATGAAGGAAATACCTGTGGTTTAATGCTGTGAAGCCTGAGCCTACTGAAAAAATACGGCCCGACAAAAGTCATTTTATTATTCTGATAATAAAAAATAAAAAACTGACATTTACTGGTTGTTCGTAAGCTCACATGCGCTACACACCAAGCTTGACTTTGACCTTCAAATCCACAATCTGCTGATAAGACTTTACTTTTGACATGTAGTTTTGGTGATGAGGTTGTCAATCAAACTTTGAGAATACACAGTGGATATCAAAAGACTGCTTAGGTTTGACTTTCTCCTCCTCTCCCTTTCCCCCTCTTCTTGTCTCCTACAGATCGAGAGGACCAATCCATTCTTTGCACGTGAGTTACAAGCTCAGTCCACCACTGCATGAATTCTATTTTATGTTAACATTTCTTGTGCTTTATTGAAACTGTTGTGCATTCAGACATATAACTTATTGTTAATCAAGCAATTTTAGGTATCCAGGGCCTGTACCAGGATGCCTCCGTGTCTTATATTGCTGAGATGAACTGAGCCCTCTGTCCCAAATTCATAGCATACGGTTCACGGTTGATTCATTACTCTCATGCATGTCTCCTTTATATCCTTGGAAATAACATTACATGGTGCAGTATATTTCCCTTCAGCATTTCTTTTGTCTGAATTAAATGAAAGTGACAATAATGTGTTCACTGGTAATTAAACAAGTTCAGGAGCAGCGCAAGTGAACCAGCTGCTCCGGGGCCTTAACAGTCCTTTTAAATCATGTATCTCAGGGACACTGACCAGACTGTCACTACTTGAGAGATACGTGTGAAATGTGGATCTGAGAAATGCCGGACATGTCTGCTACACAGTCCCCTGGCATCTTTTCAGTGACAAGTGTCTACAGATGACAGGAATGTCCCCAAAGGAAATTCCAGAGGGGATATCAAGACACAAGCCATGCAAGGCCCTTTCACTCTGCAGGGTGAATAGTGAGGCGTTAAAGTTGCATATCCCTTCTATGTACACACAGGGGTCAGAATACTTCACTGTGATACAGCACTACCACAAAGAAAGCCGAAAACATATTGTAGGGCAGTTACTTATAGGAAATATAGTATACGGTTCACTTGTTAGCATTTATTACATTGTTATTCTATTGTAATGTGTTGCTGTGGTAAACAAAAGACGGATATATTCATGCTTTCACACGCTTACACAGACATTAAAATATAGATTATAGAGATAGTTAAGGACATGGAACTGAAAAACACAAACTGATTGCAAATAGCGTGAAACGCTAAGATAATGATGCAGTCAGCAGCACTGCCTCATTGATTACATGGCATATCTTCTGAAATAGGGGAGGTGAGGAATCAGTCAGAGACATTGACATAATCCTTCCCTGACTATCCTCCTTTCACAGTAACCAACAAGACAGACGGTTACACACCGCTTGTCTTTACTCTCAGCCACATCACGCTCACTCTTATCTGAAAGAAAAACAATATTTTGCGCATACTTGGTGTATGCAAATTTGCACTTAGTGTAAAACCTCAAGTATGCTCTGGATCCAAACTGCTCCCCCACACTTTCTGCATGGCTTGGAGATTTCTTCCCTGTTTTTTCTTTTCATGCCATGGTCTCTGTCTGACAGAGTTGCTGCACATCCACACGCCAGCAACCACAAGGCATAAACTTGACTGACATACTGAAAAAACTATTGCAGAGAAAGACACACATGATCAGATATGCACCAGAATTTAGTTTCAGTTTAAAGATTACATTTGTGCATTTCTTTGTTGTGGAAAAGAGGGTAGTGCTTGTCTGTAAAGCTAAAGGAGGACATGGCATTTTAGCTTTATTGATCCAGTCTTTAGATGGGTTCATTGTAAACAGTTAATTGTTTCACAGAAGTTATTCTGAGGATTTTTGTGTTTGTCTTCTTTTGTTCCACAGAGGTGAGTCAGGAGCTGGCAAGACGGAAAACACAAAAAAGGTCATCCAGTACCTGGCGCATGTTGCCTCCTCCCACAAAGGAAAAAAAGACCACAACATTCCTGTGAGTTTTCTCCTTTCTCATCTCTCTAATTTAGTTTGCCAAAGCCTGCTCGAAGCCATAAACCTAACAAGTCCATTCAAATCTGTTCGAGTATTGACGTAAATGTTAGATTTGAATGCAAAATCCCACCACTTTGCCCTATCATATCTTGGTATTGCCCTGCAACCCCAAGACTGGGTTATTATATTGACCTATGACACTGTAGTTGTAATAACGATCTTTAGAAGTAACTAATGAGCAGTTTGGCCAGGGTGGGATTGTTGTGGTGAAAGAATAGATACCAATACCTGTAGTAGGCAACATGGCTTTGTGCACTGTGTGGACACAATCTAACAATTGCATTTGTTTATCTGTAACAAACAGCCAGAATCACCCAAACCAGTGAAACAACAGGCAAGTTTTTATACTTTCTTATATACCATGTGCATGCTACACACACATTGTCTTCTCAAACACACCTGATCTTAGAATATCTGTTTGACATGAGCCTCCTAAGGGTTCATCAAATGGTGTGAATAAGAAGTGACAGTTGACACTTGGTGTGCTGTATTTAGTTAAAATGCCCGAAAACAGCATAATTAGCTTTAATGTTTTCTCTCTCCGTCAGGCGCAAAATGCAGTTGTAAGTACATTTTAATACTTGCATGATTATTCAGACTTCCTTTATTGTGTTTTATGTGAATGACTTAGTTTGACCCGCTCTGTACAGTTGCTTGCCATTATTGTCGTTCACACTCGGTGAAACATAGTCAAATGCATGTTGTTTGTATTTGTTGTGATAGCCATATGTTGAGCCTTGGCTAACATCTCGTGCTGTATGAAATTTAGCAAATTCTGATGCTGAAAAAATACATAGAATGCTAATTTTAACTTGTATTTTAGTTAGCCATGAATTGTATCTGTGTCTTAAGTTAAGATCAGTCCTGGTCATCAGGACCTAGATCCCTGCAGATAGTTCTTGTAGCCACCTGTGAATTACATCATACGTGAGATCCACATTACAAACAGTAACTACCTGTTAACCTAGAACACTGGCAGTAATCTGAGTCTTGAGGGCCAGGATTACAGACCACTGAGGTGTTGTAATAACTCCCGTGGCTAATTCCAGCTATAGACCACTGTGAGCTGTACCTAGAAGGTATCATTAACAATGTTCAGCTTTGACTACAGGTTCATTTGTAATCATGACATAAATGCAATTTATTATTTTCCATAATAACAATTGAATCTCCCCGTTCCTACAGAGTGGACCCCTGTTTTATGTGAGTAGTATGTAGTTTCTCACCTATTTCACCTCAAAAATAACAGGGGTGCTCTACCCACCCTGTTGCCACCTCTTCTTTACCCTGTGGTTCTATTTCATTCTTCCTGATCGCCAGACGGCGCTGCTTTTGCACTGGATATCTCCATCTTTCACATACACACGTCAAGTCGTTATACCAACAAAGCCCCCCGTGACCATGCGGCTGCATGCCCCAGTTTAAAACCCTAACATCATCACGCTCAGCTCGTCTGGTCCATGGCTAACTTAAAACGGGTGTTTTTGGCTCCTGCTGTGTTGTTAGCTCTCTGCTAATTCATCATTAGGTAGTAGGGTACTGGGGTAACTAAGTCACAGTTGTTAAAGGTAATCGGGCAGTGCTGTAGTGCAAAACTGCTACTGTAAGATAGCTTTTGTTTAGAGTGTTTGAGGCACGCTACAACGTCTTTCATCGGAGTTTGCCCAGACTAAGGAGCTCCTGCTCCCTGTAATCTCCAGCACGATAACAGGGGGCCAGCTCCTGGTGGTGACTCTAACACTAGGCACTCTCCTTGTCAAGAGGATGATGTACTATCAACTGCAGCCTCTTGCAGTTCGTTCACAGATGAGGGGCAAGACGGGGACAGAGACACAGCCTCCTGGGCCTCTGATGCTTTTTCTCAGGGGTCTAATGGTGGGCCATTACATGGATCACAATCTGTCCGTTTCTCAATGAAGCCAGCCTTTGGGATGGCTTTAACATGCCTGGGGCTGGACGAAGCTCCTGTTGCAGCAGCTCCTGCAGGTGTTTTCTTTCCATGCAGATGCCACAGCCCTCCGCCTTCTCAGTCCCTCCTTCTAAGCCCTATATTGAAGAACTCCAGAACTTGCAGAAAGTTGGCTGCCATGCAGGAGGCAGGTAGCTGTGGCAGTACACACGGGACATATCCGTTCCCTTTCTCACCTTATCCTGGGTCTCTCTCGGAGCCTGCAGGAATATCTGGTTTGGACTCCTCTGCTCAGATTCTTAGTGATGCATCCCTTCAGGCTTTTGATTTCATGTCTATGGAGCTTGGAAGGTTGATGTCATTGGTGACACTGGCACACCACGATGTCTGGCTAGCACAGTCTCCTCTGTCGAGAGGGATGTTGTTGCGATGATGTTCGGGTTTTACACTGGGGCCTACATCATTGCATGGTCACAGGTAACTTTGTTGGTGTAAGGACTCGACCTGCGCATAAGTGAGATGGAGATATCCAGTGCGAAAGCACCTTCGTCTGGTGGTCATCCAGATTCCATAGTTACATTTGTAACTCCCATTCTGCTTTAATTTTCGCATTGCATGACGTGTACTTCCTATCCTCACTGAATTAATAGGATCTGCTTCTTTCAGACATTTAACATTTACATTACTGACAGTGTGAGGACACAGACTTTCATAGAAATCAATCTTTGCTCTAAACTCTAATCATTTTATAAATTAGTCGGCTTGTTCCTGCCCAGATTTAGAGACTTGATACGTGACTGCTCTCCTTTTTTGCTCTGGTGAAAATAGCGACTTATAATATTTGTCCGGCCTTGTGACCTCCGGAGCACATGTGGAGCAATGACCACACAGCCACAACTGGCCTCTGCCTCATGAGATTTAGTGGAACAGTTTTGACTGATCCTCTTTGACTCCACTCAATCTGCCCTAAAGTGCTGCTGCATGGCCGGCCAAACAGCCTGCACTTTGATGAGAGAGACACTCATAGCTATGACCTGTACATGTTTTCTATAAAGGCAGAAAAAGGACTTTAGCTCTTTATTTACTTTTAGCTTGAAAGTAACTGGTGATTTGTAGTGAGTGATATTGGGTCTTTCAGTAGTTTTGAGCCATCTGAGGTTGCTTAAATTTGATCACAGCTACACAAAATTGGCCAGCTCAAGTAAAGCAATGTTGGCTGTCAGATGCCTGACATGCACACTTTGCAAACAGGAATGTGGGTCAACTTCTAATGCTGCTGAATTGGACCCCCACTGGTGTTTTTAATCTGCTGTATGCACATAAAGACAAAGAGCAGACCACACAGATGGGTAGAGGCTGCCAATGAACAATTTCAGCTACCAAGTTGCACCACAGGCCTGCGTTTATACAGAAACAAAGGCTTTTTGGTTTGAATCCTCTGCCCTCTGGGCTCTGATAGCTGGAAAAGGACAAGGTTTATCCACTTCATCCTGCTTCATTCCAGCTTCTAAAAAAACTCAATTAAAAGCAGCCCATCATGCTCTGCGGCCAAAGATCACATTACATGTCTCACATCCTGAGTGCAATGCTGATTCCTCATCCCACAGAGTTCCCTTTAGTGGAAAATGGCCTCCTCAAACCTTTGGTGTGTGCAGCTATTTTTGACGTAATGGGAAAATGTTCCACTCAGCCACATGAGAAGTAACATTGCTGAAGACATTTTTGTTCTCTCAGCAATCTTGGATTCTCTGTTCATGACGAAGCCCACAATGTGGCTGAGATGGAAACACAGTTTACCACCTGTCCAAACATACGGATGAGTTGCTTATTTATTTATTCAGCCTCTTAAAGTGTCCAGTCTGATAGGGAAAAAAGAGCCAACGTATTTTAGTTGTGTGTTGTGGACACATTCGTTCTGACATGATAGAAGGACGGGTTGGCGTTCCTGCAACAAAAACCCATATTCTCCCTAAAACTCCATGTTTACAGGATTATATTTTATGTGCTTGAGAAAATACAGTAAAGCCTCAAGTCCACTGCCAGGAATAAATGGTTTCAGCATCTTAAATATGATCAGATTAATTGTTCAGCCTTTAAAATGTCCAAAAACAAGTCTTTAATTGCTAGTTTTATCCTAAACAAAAAGATAGTTAATTTGCAAAGTGATAAAACATATTTCCATCACATAAAGACGTTACCTTTTTTAATCTGGTTTTCAAATGGCGTGATGACATCCCCTCGGCCTGGTCTTGCTTTGGATGAAGAGTTGTTTGATAGTAAAAAGCTCTTTGTGATGCGCCGCACGCATCACAAAATTCAGCTTGGGATTGGATACATTTTACACACTCAGTAATACAATTTCATCCAAACAATAGCTCACGTGAACACCCGCAGAACAACTCCAGATAAAGAATTTAAAAAACCACTGTACCTTAAACTTGTCCATCACCTTACAAAACCTACACTGGGTATGTGAGGTCTGTCTGTATAACAAGTCTTCCGGTTTCCGCTGTCTTTGTCTGCATGTTTATGTTCATTTGTTTTTCAGTGACAGTCAGTGAGTCACAGTTCATTTCTCATAGTTGTTCTTGGTTGGGATCATCATGGGGACAAAGGCCTGCTGTAACGTGCCTCTCTTTCTCAGGGTGAATTGGAACGTCAACTTTTACAAGCCAACCCCATCCTTGAATCTTTCGGGAATGCTAAGACAGTGAAAAATGACAACTCGTCACGTTTTGTAAGTACAGAATAAATGATATTCATGTAGAAGGGCTGCATTTTTAATGAGCATCTCGCAACGTCTACTCTAGCCTTTGTGACAATAAGCAGAGATAAAACTGATTTAAGATAATTAGATTATCCTAATTTTGCTCTAAGCAATAACACAGGTCATGTAGCCGGATACAGGCGCCTGCTAGTCATTAATGATACCTTTAATGTGCTCGGTCGTTTCAGACTGGAGGCAACTCCACTCAGCAGACCTCTTAATAGTAACGTAAAAGATCTTTCTTAAGCATTACTGTAGTATCTGTCAAATTAAGGGGCATTATTATTTATTTACCAACTGTGTTGCCTCATAAAAAGACCCTAAAACCTCTTGTGCATTAACGCTGGCCAGCTTAGATGGTAAAAGTTGCCGCGCAGTTTTCACTTGATCAGAAACAGACCCGTCATGTTCTGTGTGCCTCAGGCCCTGTATCCAAACCCATGTTTGTACTGTATAAAATATGATGTATTTAATGTAATTTATTCTGTAGATGATATGTATCGGTGTTAATGTTTATCTCAAACGTATCAGCTCCTCACCATGAGGCCTCAGCTCGTGATACAACAGAGTCATAATGTTGCCGATTGATTTCTGTATATCTTGTCTTCCTGAGCATTTATCTTCTGTTCATCTTGCAGGGAAAATTCATCCGGATCAACTTTGATGTCACCGGATACATTGTTGGAGCCAACATTGAAACCTGTATCCTGTTTAGAAACGATTGACTAGAACTGACTAAGACTCTGAATGTTATAGGGTCACTGTAGGTAACCAAGTTGACCTGTACAAGAGGTGAAGGAAGAGTCTCACGTATACACTAACTGACATTTTAGGTTTTTATTCTACATTAAACTGAACCCACCAAAAGGATTGTTTCTTTGACCGTCATGCGTCAGACTTACTGGAGAAATCCAGAGCTATTCGTCAAGCCAAAGATGAGCGCACCTTCCACATATTCTACCAGCTGCTGGCTGGAGCGGGAGAGCACCTCAAATGTAAGTAAACTGAGCTTTTATACTCTCAAGATACCTCTTATTCTCTTTCTCTGTCATTACTATAGATCATGCTGATTTTGGCAGGTTAACTATTTAAAAGATAATTTATGTTTGACAGCAGCAGTATAATTTATAAAATTCATATTCATGCCAACAATTTCCAACAAAACAACATTTCTCTCCTCAGCCGACCTGCTTCTGGAAGGATTCGACCACTACCGTTTCCTGTCGAACGGTAACATCCCAATCCCGGGTCAGCAGGACAAAGACAACTTCCAGGAGACCATGGAGGCCATGCACATCATGAGCTTCGGCCATGAGGAGATTCTGGGTATGTTTACCGCAACATAAACGCAACAATTTCTCTAGGAGGTTGCTTCCACTTGGTCAGTGTTAGATTACTTTAGAAGAAGGTTACTTAATGAGGTCCCTCTGATTTTATGGTTTTAGAAATTGAAGTCACAGCGAAACGACAGCATTTTAGAGCAACTTAAGCTTTTGTAACGTGAAGTATCTCAGAGAGAACAGAATACATGGGCAGTGTGTCATTTTATTAAGGATTTGCTCAAAATTAGGCATGACTTAAGAAAACACAACCTATGGAGCTGTAGAGGACTGTTGGCCTCCACACACAGAAGATTAAATACTACAAGCCAACCATCCACTTTTGGAAAGGTAAACAAAGTTTTTTGCCAATATATCTGAACACGTGCCTCCTCCTATGATGTTGCTCTGCTACAAACTAGAGTACAATAGTCAAGGATGGTTTTATATGATGTGTGAGGTTAGCGCTGGTAGTCCCAAATCAAAATGGATTTATCAAATTAATGAATTCATGAGTGCACGATGAGTCTTGAGTATTATTTTACAGGAAGATAAAAGAGAGGGATGTTGATGTAAAGATATTCAAGTGATTTTTGCTAATAATATATATAATAATAATTATAATTAGAACTTGGAAAATGTGTTTTTTATATGGATTAAATGTTTCTTGTTTTAATTGATAATGTCCAGTAAGATTAAGTTTAATTAAGTGATGTCTTAAAATATTTATATTGTTTTTGTCTCATTGCCTCTGTAGCTATGTTGAAGGTGGTGTCCTCAGTGCTTCAATTTGGTAACATTAACTTTAAGAAAGAGAGGAACTCTGACCAAGCCTCTATGCCTGATAATACTGGTAGGTACACACACACACACACACACACACACACACACACGCATATGATGCAAGCAATCCTTTTACATCTGCTTCATAACCTCGTAGCTTGGAGCTCACAGGTCAAGACGTCATTCTCCTCCTTTTCCTCTTCCCATATATACTTCAACTCCTCTCCTCCTCTTTTCCTGCCTCCCTCACACTGCGTCCTCATCCACAGAACAGAGGGACTGGTGATTGATGTTCGCTCTCTCCCCAAGACTTGTCAACCTGCCATTAAGCCACATTATATGAGGATTTACTCCTGAAGGAAATGGGGCACGGTCATCCAGTTCCTCCACATGTGGCACTGCATATTTGGCACTTAAATGAGGGAGACGGGGAGAGAGAACGAGCCTAAAGCCAGTGAGGCAGCTCGGCCAGATATTCACAAATGCGACGAGCAGAATCCAGGACTGAAGCAGATGTTTTTTTGTGATAGTGAGACTTGGCTGATCTAGAACGGGTCATGCTTTTTTCTACTTTTCCACAAGCTCCAGCCATGTAAAATATGACAATTTCCTCGTTACACTTCATAAGAAAACCTCTTTGAAAGACTTCTGATAAATCTTAATATTAATCAGTAAAAGTTTAGTATATATTTAATATTGATTGTTATGATTAGGATCTAAGTGTTAAAATAATGCTGGGAACATACATGCTGTGGCCTCTCTTTAATTCTCATTTAAATAAACTTTTTTCCCCTATTATGTGCTTTTTCCATCTCTCGTTTCCCAGCCGCTCAGAAGCTGTGTCATCTGCTGGGTATGAATGTTATGGAGTTTACCAGAGCCATCCTGTCCCCGAGGATCAAAGTGGGAAGAGACTACGTCCAGAAAGCGCAGACTAAAGAGCAGGTCAGTTATCTAACACCGTGTATATCCTCTTAGGTGTCAAGCTAGTATCCTCACTTCCACTGATGATGATCTATCGTAAAGCAATGCAACTGCAGTAGGTCTATTTTAGCGCTAGATCATTTCAGTTGCGTAGTTGGAAGAGTTTATTTCTGACATCCAGGTTTCCGGTAGTAGCAGTAAAAGTCTGTTTAATTTTCGGCTTTGATGAGCATGAATTCTCTCATTTAAATCATCGGTACTTAATTAAGAAATTTAGAAAATGGTGCTAGCTGTATACTGCAAAGCACGAGGAGAGTCCCGAGCTGCATTTTGGTAAGAAACATTCATTCACCAATCACAAATTCTTTTCTTTTTTATTAAACTGGTATCACAATCTGCGCCAGACAACGGTTTGCTCTTGTTGTATTAAGAGCAAACCGTAAATACATACTCCAAAATTACAACTGATTTAAGAACTGATGGCCAATGTGAAGAATTGCTGTCAGACACTGACATCTTTCCTCGTTTCATAGAACTAGGCACATGGTTCAGTTAGTTTTACCTTCTGTGAAACCACTCCAAAGTACGTCTCTTGTTTATGAATCATTCATTTAAAGTGCAGTTCTCTTGCAGACTTCTGATCATTATGACAACAGCTCGATAGACGCTGCTTTAGATTTAATAGTTTTAAAAGTCTGACTCAGAAAGCATGTGGAACATTAACTGTATAAAATGTTGCCACGATGTTTGAGTCCATTTGTTCATTGAGGATCAGGAAGCATGTCTGCATTACACTGATGTACTGTGTCTCCCTATATTGTCTCACCATTATTTTCCACTCTTTTTTCTCTCTCCCTCCAGGCTGACTTTGCGGTCGAGGCTTTGGCTAAAGCGACATACGAGCGTCTGTTCCGCTGGCTGGTCCATCGCATTAACAAAGCTCTGGACAGAACCAAACGACAGGGTGCCTCCTTCATTGGCATCCTGGACATCGCAGGTTTTGAGATCTTCCAGGTTTGGATTCAAATCTATGAAAAATGTCTACATCTTTAAAGAAGGCAGTTTGTCCAGTTGTGGCTAGAGGAAATGTTTTTGTCATCTAAACTCATTTCCAATGAAAGTATTGTTCTTCCTTTTACTCCTCCCCTATGACAGTTGAACTCATTTGAGCAGATGTGTATCAACTACACCAATGAGAAGCTGCAGCAGCTCTTCAACCACACCATGTTCATCCTGGAGCAGGAGGAGTACCAGAGGGAGGGCATCGAGTGGAGCTTCATCGACTTCGGCCTCGACCTGCAGCCCTGCATCGACCTCATTGAGAGGCCGGTCAGTGTGAACGATTAGCTTGTATCCATGAGATGAATGAAACTCTTATTTTCCACTTATTCTTGAATGATTGAGCTACGCTCTACCTAAATTAAAAAGGGTAGTTGGGGTATTTTGGTGCCTTAGGGGTTTAAGATATGGACCACAACGCTCCTGTCAACTGAACACAAACAAATACTTGAAAGTTGTTGCCGTGCTTGTGTAGTTACAGTTCACTGTCTCTGAAGCCTTTTGTTCCATCCTGTGTTGATATTCAGGCAAACCCTCCCGGAGTGTTGGCTCTGCTGGATGAAGAGTGCTGGTTCCCCAAGGCCACAGACAAGACCTTTGTAGACAAGCTGATCCAGGAGCAGGGCACACACAGCAAGTTCCAGAGGCCCCGCCAGCTCAAAGACAAGGCCGACTTCTGCATTATCCACTACGCTGGCAAAGTACGCTCGTTTTTTATCTTTTTATGAGTCACACTGAGTATGTTTCTGTCTCGGTTAAAGCTTTTAAATTTCATGGCGTTATTTTTCAGAGCATAAGTCAGGCTCTAAGTCTACATTCTTATTTCCCCAATACATCTCTTTTCCTCCCTGATCTTCTTCCTGCAAAAGTTAAACAGCAAGTGAGAATGTGCTGCTGGTCAGCATTCAGATAAAACAATGACGTTACGGGTCTCCTGTGGTGGGATTTCAGGGAAATACTGTGTCCTTGTTTGATTTATATAGCATTGTATTGGAGTGGATTTGGACGTTGTGAGTGGTGTTAATTCAACAGAACTCAGTCTTGCTGGGAGACCTGCTGAGTTGCACATCTGCTTTTCATTATGTGGACCAAAAACCCAGAGATTTCCACTCTAAGAACGTTTGCTGTGGAGAAAAGCCAAATGTTGTAAATGTTGTCAACGTGGGTTTGCACAGAATAATATCGCCTCACATATGCAGTCTGAATCACTGCAGTTAAGCGTGGCCTGTACGGTATGGTGTGTCAGGATTTGAATTGGGTCACCATGATGTGTCTGATGTACAAATACATATTGATGCAACTATTATTGATTACATTTTGTTAGCATCCACGATGCAATACGCGATAAATAATCTTAAATTAGGGCTCCCCACAGACCTCTAGTTAGACCCCTGCCATGTTCTGGATTTTTAAGAATGATATCCAAGAGTTTCAGAAAATATAATCTCTCTATATCTCTTCTTTTCTTTTACAACAATACACAATATAAACTTTAAATCCCTTTTATAAATTTTTTTAAGAATGTGTGACCAAAATAAAGTTCTCAGTGCTCTCTGTGACTATTGTAGCCATTAGCCGCCATATACGTCAATAAAAATAAATCCCTGTTCAGCTAATGTTTTCTGAATAATTTAGAGTTCTTCACCTCAACTAAATCCTTGAAACTACCGTCTTTATTTATCTCTTCATGAACATATTGAGACAAAAATCACATATTAAGATATCCTGATTCACACCACTCTCATGTAAATTAATAATTAATTCAATTTTACCAAAATCTGTCACAGATTGATTATATATACATGTATGTATATATATATATATATATATATATATATATATATATATATATATATACTGTAAAACAACTGTATATTGTTCTCGGTTTGTTTAGATTTGTAATCTGTTGCGTTCAGACGATAGTTGTGTAATTGATGTTGCACCACTTGATTGTTACAGGTGGACTATAAAGCCGATGAGTGGCTAATGAAGAACATGGACCCTCTGAATGACAATGTGGCCACTCTTCTGCATCAGTCGACCGACAAGTTTATAGCTGAACTTTGGAAAGACGGTAAGCTGCCACCGTCTTATCTCTAAACATTTGAAATGGTACTGAAGACTAGAAGGAATTAATGTTGGTTACTCATCCTTTAAGATTCATTATGTATGTACCAGTTTGCTTATTCCGTTAACAAGCACGTCAATATGTCTCTCACTCGAGCCTACTAACAACAGCTCTCTGCCTTGTTGACCCAGGCCGATACGTTTATGATCTCTAAGAATTAATTGAACACCCCCCTCCCCCTCCCTCCCCTCCCTCCCTGTCTCTTTCTGTGTTGTAGAGATTCAGACCATTCAAAGGGCTTCATTCTATGACACTAGTCTGGATGACCCGGCAGGTGAATGACTGGGTCGTGCTGTAGCAGACCTGGGCCAAAATAATAATAGCTGAAAATGAACAGCTTTGGATTGTGAAACCAAGCTGCTCAAGGCGCTTGGTCGGCTAAATATAAGCGCTTCCCGAGCTAGTTGATGTCTTGAAAGTGTAGCTACTGGTATATTTTTGCCCAGATCTGGCTGTGCTATGTTTCATGCTTCAGCCGGTGCTGTGTCTGTCATAGCTACAATGGCTCCCATTTGCTTCCAGGCTGCATGGCTCCCTTTGTCTCAGCCAATAGCAGTAGTGCCTAATTCCTAAATATGTAGAATATAGTCAACTGCTCCCTTTAGTCCAACTAGTGTGCTTTAATTTGTGTCAGCATTGTTGTAGGCTGACATGGGTCTTGTGATCTGTGTATGGTCAATAGCCCTGAAGCAAGTGATTATATCTAGCGCAGCTGTTTGCAGTCTTTGATAGCTCCTCTGTGATGTGATTCATCCACAAGCAAAATTAGGATTCATAGCTTGACTGAAGAAAATGTAATGACATTCATTTCCCGCCTTCCTGCTTCCGCGATAGGACCGCAGTAGCGGGGTATAGAAAGCAGATGTTGGTGTTTGTTTTGGTTCTGAGCTCACGCGTCAGTGTAGAGGGTCCAGACAGCAGTCTGTGACTCATCCAATACCGTTAAAGGTTTTTTAAATTAAATCTAGTCGGTGGGATATTAATATGTGACATAATGTTAAACAATAAGTCCACTGACACTATCAGATCATAGAAAGATTTACTGTAGAATTTGAATTGGTGTGAAAAGACCAAAACCAGCAATGAATTCAACAATAATTGTAGGTGTGTCCAAAGCCTAATTTATCTTATTTCTAATTATTATCTAAAAAACTATTAAAAACACATTAAAGAAACACACTGTTGCACTGACTGACATGTTCTTTGTAATTTATGTTTCATCCCATATACACTGTCCTGCTGCTCTAAATGCACACTGTAGCACCAAGTCAGAATCTAAAATAGTGATGTAATGTAAAAATATAAACAGCTAAAGACTACATTTCCCAGCTGATTTTTATCTTCAGTAAGAACAAATGGATTTGGTGCTGAGAGCCGCAGCCTGGCAGGGAAGTCAAAAACGTATTTAGAAATGGACGAATGGACCAATTTTGGTCTTTTCAGAGATTTTTTTTTAACAATAATATCAAATAATAAAGGTGTACTCTAGCATTTTAGTATTGCACTTTCAAAAAGTTGGAGGACTTGCTCGATCTAAAAAAGAATGGTCACAATGCATCAGAGGCCGAGATATCCTGACTTTAGTTTCTAGTTTAGGTCAAGCTCCTAAACGAGGCCGGATCCTACATTTCCAGTGATGTTGGTACATCCACAGGTCTTTCAAACGTGACGTCGGCAGTTTGCATTGCAGCGTCATTTTTTTTGTCTTCTCCAAGCCCAAACTGAAATGATGCAAATAATGACACTTGAGTAATTTTCTCACACTTGACAAAGCACCCTGCAGAAACACAGAAGATTTGATTTGGCCGGCAACTAACAATTATTTTTAATGTTGATTAAACTGTATTTTTCTCGATCAGTTGATCAACGTTTTGATTAATCAAATAATTGTTTCAGCTTTAGCTATCATACAACTGTTGAACCCCCACTAGTCGCCTGGTTTTCATGGGTAAAATTGATGGGGTGATAAAGGTTACGAACAGTTATAGTTATAGAACAGTTATAATATTTGCATCCAGTGTTTGCAACCCCTTAAATGTTAGCATGTTGAGAATCAATGATTTTACTAGCAATATGTTGATGCATCATAAGCAGTAAAATGTTGAAAAGCTTTCATGTAGCTGCCATCAAGCATTGTCTCTCATCCATCAAGACCAGAGAGGAGCATTTTCAATTCTTGCTATTAAATTTTTTCATGCTTTATGAGTAAATCCTAAAAAACGGTGCTTCTCTCTAAGGTAACAGCACATGTGGATTCCTGTTTAGAGCGCTGGGAGTCGATAGGCCTTGCTCTCCATGTCCATGCAGAAGCTAGCGGTAGTTCTAGACTTTGAATGCTTCTTTATAGATTGCCGTTGTTTGACTGTCGTGTGTCTTTTTCATCCATCTGCACTTCATGTAGCTACATTACGTCACTGCTGCTGTTTGTTTTTCTTTTCCTCTGCTCCCCATGAAGTCTTCTCACTCTAACCAGTTCTCCTCATCTCCCCACCAGTCGACCGTATCGTGGGCCTGGACCAGGTGGCAGGGATGAACGAGACGGCCTTTGGCGCCACCTACAAAACGAAAAAGGGCATGTTTCGTACGGTGGGACAGCTCTACAAGGAGTCACTCAGCAAGCTCATGGCCACACTGAGGAACACCAACCCCAACTTTGTTCGCTGCATCATCCCCAACCACGAAAAAAGAGTAAATAAAGAATCTAAATTTATTTGTTAGAAGCTGCATATCAAGCTTTGGAAAGTGAGGGACTTGTTTCTTTATACTAGAGTATTGTCGTGTGTCTGGTGTTAATGGTGTATTTGTTCCTTCAGGCTGGTAAACTGGAGCCTCACCTGGTTCTGGACCAGCTGAGGTGTAATGGAGTCCTAGAGGGGATTCGCATCTGCAGACAGGGCTTCCCCAACCGTATCGTCTTCCAGGAGTTCAGACAAAGGTGACAAACGACCAGCTTTTTGAACTCTTTAATTTCATTTAACACAGAAGAAATGTTGATATTAATGTTCTCTTTTGTTTACAGATATGAGATCCTGACACCTAACGCTATCCCCAAGGGATTCATGGATGGAAAACAAGCCTGTGAGAGAATGGTAGTGCCTTTCTTTTCTCTTGATCTATTTCAGGTTTAAAGCTCCTGCCCTGGAAAAAAATAACATACTATATATATTCTGCTGAGCCTTAGGAACTGACTATTTACTCTTTTTGACCAAAAAGTTCCAGAAATAATGGAACAAGAGGAACTAACCTCAGGAACTAAAGTCATCTAACTAAAAGTCCCTTCTGCATTTCCTCCGCATCTAAAGAAAAGTTTCTGTGGTGGAAACACTCTTAACACAAATACTTTCCAGGAACATTTCTTGAATTTATTTAGAAAATCTAACCCTGTCCACAGAGGTCAGTTCTTAAAAAGTCTTCATGTGCCTTTTGTAGATCCGAGCCCTGGAGCTGGACCCCAACCTGTTCCGTATCGGTCAGAGTAAGATCTTCTTCAGAACTGGTGTTCTGGCTCACCTGGAGGAGGAGCGCGATCTGAAGATCACTGACATCATCATCTACTTCCAGTCCGTTTGCCGTGGATACTTGGCACGCAAGTGAGTGTCAGATCTCATGGTTTTTATTCCAATTCCTTAGCTATGAACATGCATCTGCATTTGGATACCCAAGATGCATATAGGGATGGTGATGCAATTGCTCAAACTCCCACAGGTGGTCGGAGACACAAAGCATCAATATCCAGATACACTTTGTCAACTGTATATGCATCTGTCATGTCAAGTCAGAAATGTATGCTCCTCCCAGTAGTTTCCATCAAGAACAAAGACAAGAGTAACCAACCTCCTGTCATGATTAGCATTTATACCGACGGATAAAGCAGCACGATGGGAAAATGACAGAGCTTGGTGCATTTACAGCTCATCTGTACACTGCCCGACGTTGGTCTTTAAAAACACTGCTGTACCCAGACATTGATATGTCGCCTGTTTTTGCTCCATTTCTCCCCTTAGGGCCTTCGCTAAGAAGCAGCAGCAGCTGAGCGCCCTGAAGGTCCTCCAGAGGAACTGTGCTGCTTATTTGAAGCTGCGACACTGGCAGTGGTGGAGGCTTTTCACCAAGGTGAGAACTCGTGACGCTAAAGTTACCTCTTTCAACAAAGTAGTTCACATGTGATATGAGCAGACTGCTACACTACTACTACCACTGTACACTACTTCTAAGGGTAGATATTGTAGCGAGTCAGTTCATCTAATCATGATCGTCAATTTGTGCAAAAAAAAAAAGTTTAATTAATAATCTTTTAATTGCTTTATCTGTGTCCAAGTCAAGTTAATTGATTAATTATATTACTAGGAATTTTTGTTCTGTACTGCTGGGAAAAATGTGATATCGCTGTCAATAAACTCATGTACTTGATAAGCAATTATAGGCCTTATTGTCAGTAAAAAGGCTTTTAAATGCAGTCCATGGCTAAGTGTTGCATTTAATTTGGGGAACACTGCAAAAACCATGTAGAGATTGATTTAATTCTCTCCCTCTCTCTCAGGTGAAGCCTCTGCTGCAGGTCACCAGGCAGGAGGAGGAGCTGCAAGCCAAAGATGAGGAGCTGGTAAAGGTGAAGGAGAGACAGCTCAAGGTGGAGAATGAGCTTGTGGAGATGGAGAGGAAACACCAACAGGTAGACGTGGCCTCTGTTATGGAAAATACATAATTTCAACGTGCATAAGCAGGTATAAATTCAGAGAAGCTTCGTTATTTATAAATGGTGCTAATTATATCATGTTACATGCTATTACTTCTGTTCCCTAATTGTTTGTAAGGAAGTTACTATTTGCTGTGTTCTATCAAATTTATTACAATAGAAGAAATCAGTATTGCAGCTAAGAAGGTTGGGAATTGTTCTTCCAAACTGTTCCCTCTCTCCAGCTCGTAGAGGAGAAGAATATTCTAGCAGAGCAACTCCATGCAGAGACGGAGCTCTTTGCCGAGGCCGAAGAGATGAGAGTCCGTCTGCTTTCTAGAAAGCAAGAGCTGGAGGAGATTCTTCATGACCTGGAGTCCAGGGTGGAGGAGGAGGAGGAGAGGAACCAGAGCCTGCAGAATGAGAAGAAGAAGATGCAGTCACACATTCAGGTTTATATCTTCACCTTTTTAAACTTCTACAGACACAAACTTCTTTCCTTTTGTTTTGATATGTCCTCAGTTGACAAAAGGCCTTTCTGTTATTTATATAGAAGTTGAAGAGGGCTGGAGGCGACAGCTTTGTCTAACAAATGTGATCAAACCACACGGATGAATCCGATTAGTTTGTAGAGAAATACTTTTTAAAGCCAAGTGTCGAGGGCCTTTAAAGAGTTTATAAACTTCAGTGTTCAAACTTCAACCTCATAGCATTGGATTGGTTATGGATCTTTATCTGTGTGTGTTTTCCTCTTCGCAGGACCTGGAGGAGCAGCTTGATGAGGAGGAAGCTGCAAGACAGAAGCTGCAGCTGGACAAAGTGACAGCCGAGGCGAAGATCAAGAAAATGGAGGAGGACATTCTCCTGCTGGAGGACCACAACTCCAAGTTCATCAAGGTGAGAGGATTCGATCTGCAAATGATGGGTCAAACCAAAACCAGAAAGCAGTAAAGGTCAAAAATGAATAACAGTATGTGATTGATGAGGCATATGATGGGATGGATCTTAGAGAGAAATACAAATGTCATTGTATTTTGACCGTTTCACCTCCAGTTAGTAGTTGTGCTTCCAGTCTAACCAACGCTTTGATGTTACACAACAGGAGAAAAAGCTGCTGGAGGACAGGATCGGCGAAATGACCTCTCAACTGACGGAGGAGGAGGACAAAGCAAAAAACCTCGGCAAGGTTAAGAACAAGCAGGAGATGGTGATGGTTGACCTGGAGGGTAAGCTACTGTTACTGCCGCCATTTTGAGTCGAAGAATAGAAAACGTTCAACACACACAAATAGGTGAATGGCCATCAGTTTAAGGACTATTTAAGTTACAGTAGCCTGTACGTAACATGAAACATAACATTATGAATACATTTTTTTTTTAAAAACATTGATGATTGTAAACATTTCATGAATGTTAAACGCGCTGCTTTTGCGTTGCTGAGCACCTTTTATTTCCTCCGCTATATGCACCTCATGTTTTTGCAGGTGTGCCCTGAACGGCAGTGAAAAAGCTTCCAACGTCAACTAGCAATGTTTCTCATTCTGGTGACTTTTACCCGCAGCTATATAACTTTACCAACCGTAGCAGCAGGAGGCCAATTAGTGTGAGACTTGAGATTTCGGGGAAGTTGTTTTCATTCATTTAAAATGTACGATTAGCTATTAGGTAGCATACAGTTCAAGGGTTTTGCCTTGCATTATCCACCTGCTGAATGCGCTCTGTCTGATCAGGCTCTTAATCTGCGTTACTTAAGTGCCGGGTCGATGAAGAACCGAGGTATGTAGGAATGTTTGAAGAAACACCCGTGCATTTAGGCAAAGCAGCTAATCTGACCTCTTTGTACCTCGTGTGACCCCTCTGTGACTTTGCCTATTTATCTTTTGAGATCATTTGAAGGCAAAAGTTCTTTTTATAATTATTTGCCATGTTTGATATCGCGTTTTCTTTATGAATCTTCTTTATGAGACATGTGATCATGCCTCCCTTCAGAGCGTCTAAAGGAGGAGGAGAAAACACGTCAAGAGCTGGAGAAGGCCAAACGCAAACTGGATGCTGAGACCACTGACCTGCAGGACCAGATTGTTGAGCTTCAGGCCCAGATAGAGGAGCTGAAGGTCCAACTGAGCAAGAAGGAGGAGGAGCTGCAGGCTGCTCTGGCCAGGTCAGTGATGGACATAAAACAATCTATCAAAGTGTCAAAACTGACTGCATAAGAGGCAAAATATATACCACTGATAAACTAAATCCAGACATGCTCCTTCCAGTTTAATACTCTTATTATAATATCCTACTACTATAAATTATTCATCTTGTCAGTACTGAAGCAAATGCTGCTATTCCCTTTAATTCATTGTTCATTGACGGAAGTCCAAAGATAGCTGATAGAGCGCTGTGTGGCTCTTCACAATGACACAGACATGTCCTCAGCACACAGATAGTTTTGTATGAAATCAGACAGATCAAATACACTGAAGTGTGTTATTACATCCACTACTGGGCAGACTCCTCTGAACTCGCATCACTACAAACCTAAAGGTTTGGAAAAATCTCACTGTTAGTGGTAATGCTGATTTTACTTCACCAACATTCTCTCACTAGCGCAGTATTTCCATGACAACTGCACTCGAAGTCAATAAGAAGACCCTAAAATAGTCGCTAGCACACTCCAACAAACACCGAGTCAACTTTGACTTAAAGCAGCTCTCGTCCTTTTCAGCTGCTGCAGTTGGCGTTTCAGCACACGCACACACTTTGTCTCTATCTTCCACTCATCTCAGTCCTCCTCTACTCTCCTCTGCAGCTCCCAGCTGCAGTGTTTGCCTCCAACAACACTGGCTGAGACCTTTCATCTTGGAGGCAGCCGTGTCTGATTACAGTCAAATTGATGTTGATTGATGATCTCTGTCCTGGGCTTTGCCGTAGTTTTCCACATGAAGAGAGCCGGGTTAAAATCCAGCTCTCATTTTACAATGGAGGACAAACAATTAACAGACCTGTTTGTTTTTCACCGTCAGATTTACTGATTGCAAAAAGCGTCTGCAGCTATAGCTTTATTCCTCCGTCGATCCTGATTTTCCATTCATACGTAGTGGGAAAAATATTCGGAGCAACACGTTTGGTGTCATGTTAAATCGTTTTCCCATTAACCGTCACAAGACTGCATGCAGAAGAGGTGAACAGCTGTGGAGGTCAGCACAGATTATCTTAATGTTCTCAATAGGTCGTTGGTTAATGTCTGTCTGAATAATTTCACACGCAGAAATCATCCAGTTCGTCACAGCTCCAGATAATTAAGCTTTCATTAAACTTGATGTGCTCCGTTTTGAATTGAGCAGCTATTTTGAGAACAATTGTATTTTTTTTTTTAAATGGGGAATTACGTTTAGGTTGGAGTCATTAGTGCCTTTAATCAACACTGTGGCATTGTATTAATTATAAAACTGAATCATTATTGCATTCAGTGTGACTAATCAGTGGGTTTCTTTGTAGCTGATGAATGTTACGAATCACCACACTGCCACCCTGTGTGCACTGGTGGCGTCATTTCAAGTAAAACAAATACACTAAGTTGTGTGATAAGGGTCTACTCTGAAGAACCGACATGTGTTATGTGTCTCCAACCAGGAGTGATGAGGAGACAGTCCAGAAGAACAACGCCTTGAAGCAGGTTCGGGAGCTGCAGGCCCACCTTGCTGAGCTTCAGGAGGACCTGGAGGCAGAGAAGATGTGTCGAAGTAAAGCTGAAAAACTTAAGAGGGACCTGAGTGAGGAGCTTGAGGCCCTGAAGACGGAGCTGGAAGACACGCTGGATACCACCGCTGCCCAGCAGGAGCTCCGGTACGTATTTAACGTTGGTTTATCAATGATTACAAAGGGGAACTCTGACGAGTTTACACATCAAAGTCAGTTTACAGATGTTAGGGAGTGCGACTCCATATGTGAAAGCGTTGTTGTTGCTCCAATAGGGAGCTATTCGAAAGCTGATGAATGCTAAATCTGTGGAGTACTCATGTTTCTGATGGTTTATATACTGGTGTTAAACTACAGGGTTTGACAAAAGCACAACTGTTACTTGTGAATATATTATTCACTTACACATTCTCTAAACTGCTTAGTGTTCGATATTTGTCACTACTATGCTACAGACAACAATAGCCCTAACCCTGCAAGTTAAGGTGTTTTTTTTAAATTGCATCTTAGAAGGTGTCCTCTAACATGTGTCCGAACTCCAGGTCCAAGCGAGAGCAAGAGGTGGCAGAGCTGAAAAAGGCCATAGATGAGGAGACCAAAAACCACGAGGCTCAGATCCAGGAAGTGAGACAGAGGCACGCCACAGCGCTGGAAGAAGTGTCTGAACAGCTGGAGCAGGCCAAGCGGGTGAGGGGGTCGTACCTTGTTACCCTCGCAGGGCTTGTACACATCAGCCTATGTAGGCAGAAAATGTCATCAAATTGTTAATGTCTGCACAGTTCAAGGCCAACCTGGAGAAGAACAAGCAGTGTCTGGAGAGTGACAACAAAGAGCTGGCCTGTGATGTGAAGAGTCTGCAACAGGCAAAGACGGAGTCCGAACACAAGAAGAAGAAACTGGAGACTCAGCTGCAGGAGTTTATGTCCAGGGCCACCGAGGTAGAGAAGGCCAAGGGAGAGCTGGCCGAACGCTCGCACAAACTCCAGGTAAATACCTCCACAGTATAACATTTAGCTATGAAATGATTGGGATATAGCCCCAGATTGCTCTAAAACCCAACAAATAATTCAAAGGATTATCAATGACGCACTTTGGTTTTGTTTAGTATGCTTTCCTCATAACCCCATTCATCTTCTTTTAGACGGAGCTGGACAGTGCATACACTTTGCTGGAGGAGGCAGAGAAGAAGGGCGTCAAACTGGCCAAGGAAGCCGACAAACTGAACAGCAAACTGCAAGACTCAGAGGTACGAAAGACGGCATCAGCCAAGTTTAAAGCTGCAGGAAACTTGATCTAGAATGACTGTAAAAGTTACAAAGGTGTCAAGTATTTCTCTCCATAATTAAAAGTTAAAACACCAGGACGGTTGGGTTGTTTCTGATGTACACAGTGAAATCAAGCAGGCCGTTAGAATAATGTGAACACACAAAACGAATTGACACAGTCCAAATCTGTTCTTATTCCGTTATCACACCTCAGTATTACTAATGATAACAACAACAGATTTGTCTCCCTGCTTTTCTTTTGTCTGGCTCATCTGGTGTGTAGGAGTTGCGGCAGGAGGAGACTCGTCACAAGCTGAACCTGAGCGGCCAGATCCGCCAGCTGGAGGTGGAAAAGAACACCTTGCTGGAGCAGCAAGAGGAGGACGAGGAGGCACGACGCAACCTGGAGAAACAGCTGCAGATGTTGCACTCCCAGGTACAGTCATACGTAGATATTGGTATACATCCACATCTGTGTTGTATTATCTTTATCTGAATAAAACAAATGGCCTTCTTGTAGCTGTTTGAGACGAAGAAGAAGCTAGAGGACGACGTGGGGTCGATGGAGGGCCTGGAGGAGGTGAAGAGAAAGCTCCAGAAGGACGTGGAGCTGACCAGCCAGCATCTGGAGGAGAAGACCATGGCCATGGACAAGATGGAGAAGACCAAGAACCGACTGCAGCAGGAGCTGGACGACCTGATGGTGGACTTGGACCACCAGAGACAGATCGTCTCAAGCCTTGAGAAAAAACAAAAGAAGTTCGATCAGGTATGCTGGACCGCCAAAGTCTTCCAAAAATGATTCAGGATGTTAATAATTAACCGTTAACTGACAATTATTTTTGACAGATTCATGCCGTCAGTTAAAAAGTATAACAGTGATACTGTTACGTATAACTTTATACTCACTGTCACACACACGGCGGGCTGCAGGACGCGTGATACTCGGCAACCGACAGAACAGAGATGTCGGAAACCCAGACACGCATCCGACAACCTCGCAGCTAAACTGATGCAGGGGAGCCGAGAAAGTGTATGAATGTGTCCACATCAATGCACCCAACATAGTGGCTGCAAATTCTCCCTTACTAGGGACTCTGTTGCCTTTTAAATGATGGATTTAATCTTGTTAGGCAATTCGACCACAGCAAGGAACTAACCTTGTTGTTTAATGATCAGTTAACGAGGCTATCAGTCAGAAAATAATTCTAAATTGGCACCCCTAGAAATGGTGGATCGAGGTCAGATGCATGCATGTATTGAAGGCGGTTGTTTCTTTGTCCACACTAGCTGCTTGCTGAAGAGAAGACCATCTCCGCTCGTTACGCTGAGGAGCGAGACCGTGCGGAGGCTGAGGCCAGAGAGAAGGATACCAAGGCTCTGTCTATGGCCAGAGCTCTGGAGGAGGCCTTGGAGGCCAAAGAGGAACTGGAGAGGTTCAACAAGCAGCTCCGTGCTGAAATGGAGGACTTGATGAGCTCCAAGGATGACGTGGGGAAGAATGTGAGTGACCTTTGACTTCATTTCCAGCAGAAAGACGAGTTGTAGCTTCCACTTACGGCTCACTTCTCCGATGATTTAATATTCCTTTTTTAGTCTCAAAGTACAGTCTGATCAGCCAGGACAGTTTTAATGTTAGTTCTAGAAATCACTGAAATCTCAAAAAAATATTTTTCATTTTAGAAATCCACACAGGGTTTTCTGAGGTCCTTTAATCTGCCTCAGTCCAGCCCGTTTCACTGACATATTTGTGTGTCCCGATGATGCGTACAGGTCCATGAACTGGAAAAGTCCAAGCGAACTCTGGAGCAACAGGTGGAGGAGATGAGAACTCAGCTGGAGGAGCTGGAAGACGAGCTGCAGGCCACAGAGGACGCCAAACTGCGTCTGGAGGTCAACATGCAGGCCATGAAGGCCCAGTTTGACCGAGACCTGCAGGCCAGAGACGAGCAGGGAGAGGAGAAGAAGAGGTCGCTTGTCAAACAGGTACACAGGGCCCACAGATGACCAGCATGAATTGGCTCCATATTCCTTATGCATTTCTTGATATGCCGTGTTTACTCTTCCAGGTGCGTGAGATGGAGGCAGAGCTGGAGGACGAGAGGAAGCAGAGAACTCTGGCTGTTGCCTCCAAGAAGAAGCTGGAGATGGACCTGAACGAGCTGGAAGGACAGATTGAAGCCGCTCACAAAGGCAGAGACGAGGCTGTTAAACAACTGAAAAAGCTACAGGTACGCACGCACACACACCTGTTCAGTGCATAGCCTAGAAGCCTTTGAAACTGATTTTTTAAGGGTTTACAACACAGTGCAGATCTCTGTTTATGAATGGACAGAGGAGGGTATCAGTTTTGGATGAGACACTCTGACCCTCAGTACTGTTAGCAAAATATTGAAGATGCAGCACAAAACAAAGTTACTACTGATGGATTATTATTTTTTGAATTACTTCTATTTGGCGATAATGCCGTGTTTCGGTACCCATTTCTAGTGTTCAGGGTTTTAAGGTAACTTAATGTTGTCCATTATCTGTGTGTCAGCTGCTACCGCTGTCCGTGTTGATTAGCGGGCAAATGAATGAGCTCAATGAAATACCTTCCTGTTATTTTTCTGGTCTACCTTGTCTCTGGTCTGTAGGCTCAGATGAAGGACTATCAGAGGGAGCTGGAGGAGGCCAGAGCCTCCAGGGATGAGATCTTCACCCAGTCCAAGGAGAACGAGAAGAAACTCAAGGGCCTCGAAGCTGAAATCCTACAGCTACAGGAGGTCAAATTCCAGATTTTGTTCTAAATTGAAAATTGCTTTGAATTAGAGATCATCTTATTGTCTGATATGAACTGTTAATATGCATTTCATTTATGACTTGGACAAAGAATGAATATCGACTTGTTCCAGTCAGACTTAATTTCTGTATTTGATGGACAACAATGGGAGAGCAGCTTATACAAGACCTTCTCCGTACTGATCCTCGTGTGTGTTCTGTGTGGTTTAGGACCACGCAGCGTCCGAGAGGGCCCGTCGACATGCTGAGCAGGAGAGGGATGAGCTGGCTGATGAGATCGCCAACAGCGCTTCTGGAAAGTCTGTGTCGCCTTGTTCATACCGATATTTTAAGTGCCTTAAAAATAACGTCTTGAAAAGGTATTCAATTTACCTTCAGGATTCCTGCAATCACCCTGAATAATAATGTGTGCGTGTGTCAGGTCGGCGCTGCTGGACGAGAAGAGAAGGCTGGAAGCTCGTATCGCCCAGCTGGAGGAGGAGCTTGAGGAGGAGCAGGGGAACATGGAGCTGCTCAACGACCGTTTCAGAAAGACCAACATCCAGGTAAACAGACTGCACTTAGAGAGAGGGGTCGTACGCTTCGCCATGAACTTGGTTCCAAAATGGTAGATTGCTTCCATCAATGTTACACAACATCTCTTCCTCAGGTCGACAACCTGAACACCGAGTTGGCCGGAGAACGCAGCACTGCACAGAAGAGTGAGAACGCTCGGCAACAGATGGAGCGGCAGAACAAGGTCTTGACTAGTTTAAATACATTATTGGCATATAGGATGTATGCGCTTATGTACATCCAGAGGTTGGATAAAACAACAGCAGAAGAAGCTGGTTACCTGATGTCTTTGTATACATGTTGAATGTGAGCCGTTATAAACACCTCAGCTATGAGAAAATAATCTTTTTCTCCCCCTCACAATAGGGAACGTTAATGTTTCTCCTTTACTGCTTTTCGGTTAGTAAGTATGCATCTCGTCACATTTAATGCTCAGGATCCTAACAGTTACATGTTACAAAACGCAGGACTTGAAATCCAAGCTAGCAGAGCTGGAGGGGACCGTCAAGTCAAAGTTTAAGGCATCCATCACTGCCCTGGAAGCCAAGATCCTGCAGCTGGAGGAGCAGCTGGAGCAGGAAGCAAAGTAAGTGACCAAACTCACCCGTTTTCACAAGATGAGACTGAGGACATTTAGAATTCATTTGAAGACTGATGAACCACCATTGGAGTGATTTTCTGGTCAGCTATTTGGATACATGTAAAGGTTCATCGTCAGACATTTTAACAACTAAATCATCATGACATTGATTTTAGAGACAGTAATGGTGGTAGATGGTAAGAGTTAAATAAAGTTGGACTAAACAGTGAAAGCAGACGATAATGAGCTCTTGTCTTACATGTTTCTTTTTGCAGGGAGAGAGCAGCAGCCAACAAGATCGTCCGTCGCACGGAGAAGAAGCTGAAGGAGGTGATGATGCAGGTGGAGGATGAGCGTCGTCACGCTGACCAGTACAAGGAGCAGGTATTGACTCATGGAAAGATTCACTTCTACTCAGGATGGTTCTCCAGCCAACCACCCACGACCTCTCACTGTCTCTGCCTGTTTCCCCGTCCTCCCGTCAGATGGAGAAAGCCAACTCCCGCATGAAGCAGCTGAAGCGTCAGCTGGAGGAGGCGGAGGAGGAGGCCACCAGGGCCAACGCTACCCGCAGGAAGCTGCAGAGGGAGCTGGACGACGCCACCGAGGCCAGCGAGGGTCTCACCCGAGAGGTCAACTCCCTCAAGAACCGCCTCAGGTACGAGGAGGACCTTAGAGACGTCCTTATGTGCCCCGTGGACTTCCACAAAAACACATCAAGACAAATAAACTGAAGCAAGCACAACAATAAAAAACTGAATATGTGATCTCTTAATCATAAAGTAGTGTGTATTTGCTTTAAGGTGTCAAGCTATTTTACTGCCACAGTATCTAGAAATACAATTCTGATATACTTATTAGTGTAATTTAAATGTTTGTCTTCAGCTTGCGTGTGTATTAGCAGGGTTTATTTTACATGTACATTTATTTGAGCCGCTCCTTAAAGCAGCAGAGGTTCATGTTGTTTTGTTTTGAGCAGGCGTGGCGGCCCGGTCAGCAGCTTCTCCTCCGGCCGTTCGGGGCGCCGCAACCTCAATCTGGACGGTGCCTCCGTCGACATGTCGGACGATGATGCCGACAGCCGTGCTGGCGACTTCAACGAGACGCAAACCACCAACGCCGAGTAAACACTGCGTCCCTTTCCTTCCTCGTCTTCTCCCTCCCTCCTCACCCCCCACCTCACCCACCTGTCCTTGGCATCTCCATTCATTTCAAACCGCTGACTGGACAGACGATTGGAGCGATGTTTTTGCTAACGCTGGGCGGAGTGTGCCTGGCAGCCCTTTTTGTATCAGTTAACACTGCAGGGAAAATCCATCGCCCTCCCTTGAAGTCAAGCCTCCAGCCCTGGAGAGTCACAGGGGCAAACAGACAATTCTGCCTTACTCTGTCCTCATCCGGCACGCTGCTACCCGGGCTCGTCTCTCGGCCAAGCATCATCTCAGCGTCATGAGGTAATACTCTCCCTCCCGTCAGCCGTCAACTTATCTGCTCAGCTTATTGAGAAAGTATACATAGGTGCAAAGTGCTTTTTATACATATGAAACTGTAGGTGGAGGCTGTTAAGTGTACACACACACATCAAGTATGTAACGTATGTGAACGCACCCCATGCTGGAATTGCAGCACTACAAGGTATTACACGTTGGTGTTTATTAGTGTTCTGCTCACTAGTTGTGTAAAAGCCATCTCGTACCCGACACACTCCCTCCTTCCAAAACAAAAGGTCACTGTGGCCTTCGGACCACCACGCCAGCTGCTTGTGTTGCATAAGTCTCCCTCCGATGTCCGGACTGTTTACTTCTACACAGGAATGACGAACATCTCGGGACATGCAATTGAAGAACACGGACTCTGGATTTGAAGTGTATTACTGTGAAAAAAAAAAGGGTATTTTTATTTTCTGTGTTGCTTCATCTCAACATTTAATGAAAGAATGTCTCGCTGGGTTTTAACTAGAAATCTCAGCTCACGAGGTTAACGGGTGTATCGTTGACCATTTCTCCTCTACTGTGGGTCGGCCTGAGCTGCGAATGATGCACAGAACTGCACAGGAAGACGTTTGAATCTTAAACTGGAAACCAACAGGGAGAAAAGGCTCTTACTGGAAGCGCTGAACTGGCACAAATGGTTACGAGTTTGACAGATTGAACAGAGTCGTCTTATTGCTACATTTCAGTGTTTCTGCCATGTTTGTTTTATCACATTTAAAACAGAGCTAAAGAAAAAAATATGACTACCTGCCAAACTATGGAAACAAGTCATTTAACAACTCCTACCGCTGTTCTGAAGGCATTATCCAAATCCTCCTGAGTATTTGGATTAAAAAAAATTCAGTTTGTTTCGCAATAAAACAAGATTTTTAACTTAATTTTTAGCCAAAGGGCTCAGAAATACAAGAAATGTAACAGCTACAGTTCCATGACATCTGGTTTCTAACCTGTTTCCCAAGTTACAACAGTATTTCCTAATGTTAGGTCACATATGAGAAAATATATATTGTGATTTATTTTTGATTTGTTCACATTCCCTTGTTTTATATTTTCTTAAAACAAGCATTTCATGAAACTGAAACTTCATTTCTGGCTACTTGGATAGAAACGTTAACATGATGGTGAACAAACTAGTGCCGTTTTGGGATTTGAAGCCCGACTCTTCAGACCTGATTAAGCACTTAGTATACCTTTGCATTTTAGCCCAGGTTCCTTTTAATGTTTTTTGTGAAGTGATGTAAGGCTCTGCTTGAACTACAGCAGCCACCTCAACAGTTGCCAGGGAGCTCATAATCCATCCATCAACCGTTATTTAGTCTTTCCCTGTATCATGGACCTGCAGATTAGGGTGGTCGTCTGCAGCGGACTTCTTTGCCCTTCTAACTGTTAACAGTATGTTTCTTTAAAAGAGCCTTAGACACTAAATAAGAACATGAGCGGGCAATGATTTAACTACCGATGTGAAAAAAGAGATGAAACCGGTACACCAAGCAGAGAGATTCACTTTCTCAACTCTTGTTTTGTTCTGTGCTGCATATCATATCGGCCGTGTAACTCCATGTTCATAATAACGTCCTAGCTTGAGTGTCTGTGTCAAAATCAGTATTACAGTATCGTTAACACGAGAAGTGGAGCCCTCTGCGGCGGAGCTTCCCAAAGTTAGTTTTGTACTAAGATCTCCCGTGTAACCAAGGCTTAGTACTCGAGCTATTTTGGGAAACTTTGGTCGGCACAGGATTCCATTTGGTTGAGAGCTTTAACATCCACAAGTAGTTAACTCAATTTTTATTTTATTATAATTACACAGCTGGCTGTTGACAACCAGGCATTCAACTGCAAATACTCCCATCATATTATTTCTTGTATTCCTGTATTTCTAGACATTATGTTTTTGTTTGTTTTTGTAAGGAAAATAAAGCATTTTCACTGTAGCTGTGGCGCTGTTCTGGTCTGTTTTCAGGGCTGCAACAGGACCGGAGTACTGGAGTCTGGTCTTTTTCATTTTATTCAGACTTGTTTCACTCCAGTGTTTTAATGTCTTCGTCTAGTTCTTTACTTTACGCGCTGCTCTCCATCAGATATCAAGCTGTCGTAGTTATTGTGTAACAACTTTTTTCAACATACTATGACCTTTTACTATGACTTAAAGTACATCAACATACTACGATGACCTTTTTTTTTTTTTTTTTTACATACATTACTACTTTTTAAAGACGGACACACTACACTGACTTTTTTTAACGTACATTATGACTGACACTATACTGACTTTCTAAAAATACCAAACTGACCTTTTTAAACATACTATACTTTGATTTTTGACTGTTTTCTTTTACTATTTACATATTATACTGACTTTTTAAGACTTCTCAACATGCTATATACCATGAGTTTTTTTTCAACATGCTGTTCTATGACTTATTAGGCATAACATACTATGACTTTTTTCGAAATACTAGGTTCTCGAATAACCCGAAAATCTGTTAATTGTAGGTCTGAACAACAAAAGGACCATAAACAACTTTCTTCATTTATTAGAATAGTTGTCTTTTCATGATCTGATATTTCCCTCTAACTTTTATTATGGATACAAATAAAGTCAACATACTTTAATTTAATTTTAAGGACATTTTTCAACATATTAATCCATAAACTTTGTATTACTTTTTTGTCATACAACACTGACATCTTTCAACATACTATAAGTTTTTTTAGGCACTTTACATATACTACAACTTTTTTTTGACATACTATAATATGACGTTTAAGAAATTGACATGCTATATTATGACTTTTTACGACATTAAAATGACATTTTAGAACTTTTGACACCTTATAATGGGACACACTTCACTATGCATTTTTTGTACTTTTTTTAACATACTAAAGTTTTTATTCGACAAAGTCACAGTACAGTATACTGTACTGTGACTAACATGACAATATGGCTTAAAACATATACTATGACTTTTTCCTATTCTTTTTTGACATATACTATGATTATTTAGGACCTTTAATTGCATGCTGTAATAATGTTGCTGACGATAACGTGTTATTAGTTGACACACCCACGTTGCTTAAGTAGTATCCGCTGCAACATCAGTGAAAAACAATTAGAGGCATTCATTTTCAAATAGGCATATTTGTTTTCTTGCTTTGACAAAACCACTGCACTCAAAGTAAAGCATGGATTTAATGAGGAGGTATTTTGCCGGTGGTAAAGTTAAAAGTTAGTATGGCAAAAAGATACTGCGGTCAAATGGTCCGTCATCCGCAGAACGTTGGTCGTCAGCCGGCGTTTGAAATGTAATGCGCGCCTATCCGTGGTGCTACGGTACGGGTGCTTGGATAGCCCCAAAAGACCGGAAATAGACCTATATTTCATCAATAATTTGCCCAATTTGTTAAAAAAAAACAACGTAATTTTGTACATTATATGAAATCCAACAACAAAAATCTGAAATTACACTGCAGGATTCATTTTTTTAAAATGTCAAATATGGGGAAATGAATATCAAAATGTCATTCGAGTTGACTTTGCCTTTAATTTTCTCAAAAACTACAGTAATATTTTAAGCCAATATTCATGTATATAATCAGGGTCCTCATTAACAACAATCAAGTTAAATATTGACATAACCTCTTAAGGATTCAATTTTATAAAATGTCAAATATAGGGAAATTATAAATATCAAAATGTCATTTGAGCTGACTTTACATCAAATCTTCTTTAAAACTGTACAGTAATATTACATTATATTTGACATGGACATCATGAACATAACTCCAACGTAAATTTTAGCTAACCAATGAAGGAAATGTTTTTTTTTCAGAGATCAAAGATTATTATTAGGTAATATAATTTTCGAACCCTTTTTCAATTAATTATACAGCAGTGTCATTTCAGATTTTATTATTTTTATATTCCAAATTGCACCAAATGCAGGGATCCCCAGAACTACAGCTACCGAATGTCAAGTAGACGGGATGAGACGTTCCTTCCTTTTATGACGCACTATACTAGGACTATTTTTTTATGACTTAATGGAATACTTTTTTCACAACATAATATTCTATGACTCGATATGTTTTATGACATACTATAGTTACTTTATTTGGCATACTGTTCATTTTTGGGTCATACTGCTATACTGACGTGTATGGCATACTATACTACACTGGCTGATACATTCCTTCATTACAATAAACAAGAAGACTGTAGTCCATGTTCAGTGAACCTCACTTCACCCTCCTGCTGCTATAAATGCTCAAGGAGCACCGAGCTCATAAATCTGAAAACAGTCCCCAACAAATGCCCCTTTTGCTGCAGACTTAACTACACTGACCAGCCGTTTTAAGAAACATGTCGCTCTTATGACAAGTGAACTCTTTAGACAGAGGCCTGATGAACGATACCTGATGAGCCTGCTGCTGCTCTGCTGTGTGCCGTTTCCACCACCGCAGGTCGAGGAAGGAAACTGGATCTTCATTTCAGTGTTTAAGGTTGATGAGTACCCGTTTGTTCAGAAACCAAAACAAAAGTTCTCTCTCACATTCTCTGATCCACAGGTGTTTCCAATTCCCCTGATGACCCCTCCCCTTCCAGTCAAGCCAACCAATGAGAGGCATGATTAACCACGAGGAGGGGCCAGGCTATGAGCTCATTGGTGTTAATGGAGAATCAACATGTTGCTCCATAACACCAACGTTCAGTGCTCGTTAATTTAAAATACATCCTCAGATTCAGCACTTACAGATGTAGAAAGAAACCATTAAAAAAATAAGTCTTAAAGAGTCATCATGAAAACAACCTGTTTTGTTTAATTTCATAATTGACACACAAAAATAATCTACAAAAGACCAAATTAAGTAACCAGTTAACCACGAAATGTCATTTCTATCCTCCCCGACCCCCAAAGAAAGCACAATTTATAAGATGTCACCCACTGCTCCAGTCACATGACTTCACAATGACATCCTGAAGGACCACACGTCGACACATGGGTTTACATTTTGGGTGGGAAATGTAAGAACACACACACGCACACACACACACACACACACACACACGCACACGCACGCACACGCACACGCACACACACACGCACACGCACACACACACACACACACACACGCGCAACGCCCCATCTAAAGTGAGCTACAGAACAATCTTTGGCGCCATTCTCGGTGCAGCTGGTCAGTCAGACGCACATGGTGGAGGAACTAGTCGGGCGAGGACAACGAGAGACTCAGGAAGAACAGTTTTGTTGACGGAGGTATTCAGCAGAGGGAAGGTTTCTCTACAGGTGTGTTCAGACAGCCAGCAAAGTCAATGTTCAGTCTCGTGTCAATTTGTTGACGCCAACTCTTTCTGTGGGAGTGTGACTGTATCTGCTTGACCTCTGAACTCACCAGTAACTCCTATTTACGTTTATAAAGTAGTTTCACTAAGCCCCAGGTACAGGTCAGCACAAAGGGGAGGGAAAAAGACCCGTTACTCCGGGTTGGGAGTGTTTACACATCATCCCAAACTGGTTAGCCCCACTGCTAACCCTGTAGCAGATAAACAGGACAGATTAGCTTATTTTGTTGCGTTATGCATTTGTAGCAGTTAATCATCACGTGACTCTAGATATAAACAGTGTAAAGCTCCTTTACAATTAGATGAATCAATTTAGGGTTTTAGTGTTCATATTGGATTTTATTTTGACACAAGCTAATGAGAGTTTGCAGCGAGTTTGTTGACGTTTGTGTTTTGTAATTTATTCACCAAGAGGGAGATATTGTCCATATCAGAAATCCGTTATTCCCACTTGTGGGATTAATAAAGTATCCATCTATCGCTGCTCGTAATGACAGTTTCAACAATAGGACGTGAAAGCTGTACAAGTGCAACTTTTTCCACTGAAGTTGAAACATTTTGCATCTAAATCGCTTCTTTCCGTTGACTTTTATGTGCAAACCGCCTCTAAAATTTGCTTCGCATTCTGTCTTAACACACCCAAGAACAACAGAAGTCTCGAGTGACATCTACAAACATCTACAACTTCAGAGACGCACCGACAGGTTGAGGAGAGGTTGAAAGCCAAGCGACGACTCGCACTTTTGCATTGAGCGTTTTACAGTCCTGCATAGATCTTTTTCATACGTTTTCAATACAAACTAAGGCGTTGTGTTATATTAAGTTGGATCGAGTTAATAAGCAGAGAAAGTAAACAAAAAAATCTTAACTAAAAAAAACAAAAAACCCTAAAACAATTCAAGTAGGCTACAATCTTGACATTTCTCCCCTCTCTCACAGGCGGCTCCTCTCTTCACAAGAGGAGCCCAAAACTTCTTCAATTCAAGTCTTTTTTCCAGAAAAGGTCCAGTGTGATTAAACAGCACCAAAAGCACACCGAGCAAGAGAGGGGCATCAAACTTACACTCGCTCATTGTTGTGAAAAGGGGGTACACATCTTTACCCATCCGTACAGAATAATCTGGAAAGAGATTAACAGTATATTGTGTTTCTTTATGTACATACACGCATTCAAATCAACTTCACCGCTCTCTCTCTCTCTCTCTCTCTCTCTCTCTCTCACACACACCACAACATGTTTTTGTCCCTGTGTAAATTACAAATAATTTATCAATATTAATTTAAGCTACTACTTAACAGTCATTTGTGGGAGCAGAGGTGACCACAATAAAATGTCTACAGACACGACGAGTCCCACATCTGAGACAAAAAGACAAGTAAATAAAAAATCTTTTTTTTTTTCTTTTTGTACTGCAAGAACACGAGTCCTGTTATTCCACATAAGCTTAAATACAACTTATATCACGTAGCACACTACTCTAATTTGTATCACCACCTCGCTCACACTCATTCCACAGTGATCAAGGTCGGTCATATGTAAACATGTTGACAAAAAAAATAAGCTAAAATAAAAGTGTTCTTGTCATTCACTCCGTCTTGTTCTCATACCCGGTTCAGTAGAAAATACAGTTTAATGAATTCATCATCGCCACTTGTAGCGAGGACGAACTGATTCTCCTTTAGGTCCATTTTGGAAAAGAGGCGGTGGAGCCCCGCCCCCTCATACCACGTCACTGTGTCAGTCAATCAAAGTGAAGATTCTTATTGGTGGAGGTGTCCAGGGGGTTGTGATGTCACCCCGCTGGGTGTCGGCCTCCTGCGCTGTTATTGGTCAGTGGGATTTCCTCTTCATGTCTCCAGCCTGGCTTTGGTTCGCATCTGAGTGGAGAGGATGGAAATGTTTAACTATGTCGGTATCTGGATGACAGTAAAGCACGTTCACTGAACCTCCAACTTTACTCTGTGAATAAAGATGTCCTTCATTATGCAACATTCAATCCATCCAGCGTACACCGATGAGTAGGACCCCACATCAGTGACAACTTTTAAAATCACTTCTCAAAACTCATCTCTGAAAAACAAAGCTTTTATATAATGTAGGCACACTTATTTCAACATGTCATCCATTTTATTATTATTGCTTGAATCTTTTATTATTAATATATTTTTTAAGAGCCGGCCCTTTGCTGCATTTGAACCTGCGGTGAGTGTTTGAATGCAGAAGTTATTTGCGTCATTTCAGTCCCGAAAGGTTTAATCCTGGTCGAACTGTGTAAAGCTTTGTTTTGAAAACTGTTGTATAAAGAGAGATTATTAATATTATTATAAACCACATCCAGCTCCTCACATTTGCAGACTAGTTTGAACACCTGACTTTTGCGCGAGGTTTTACTGTAAATTGAAGGTTTATTTACTGTAAAGCTGCATTTCAGTGATTTAAGTTTTTTTAATCTTGGTTATTATCACGACTATACTTTAATCATCATTTGTCATTATTTTGCTACTATTATAACATATACACTGATCATTTACTCGATGAATTGTTTGACCTAGAGGGCACTAAACCCCACAAGACGATTCTTAAACAACATTTAGAAACCAAAGATGAAAATATTCAATTGTTCGAGAGGCCCATTTTAATCTCAGAGGTTAAATTTAACTTAATATTGCAGTTTGAGGTTCATCACAGGGTGAGCTGGTGCAACAGGAGGAGCTGTGCTTTGAGTTTGGGTCTCCAGATGTTCTTTGATCTGAAGCCATGAATAATCCAGCTGAGGGTTTGGTGTAGCTGTTTACAGCTATAGTTACAGTTGAGTTCAGCCGCAGATGAAGCTACCTTTTTTTTTTTAATATTTCATGCAGGTAGTTTCATACTGCTGTACATCACAGAAGAAAAACCTGAATCTTCACCGTGTATTCTGTGATCTACTGAAACAACAATTAATCTGTGAATAACTTCAGAGGCTTTACAACATGTGTCTACAGCGCTAACAAGACGCATGCTAAACACCAAATACTGAATACTGAAGCAAGCAGAAAGTTACAAAGCAAACAACACAGCAGCCGAGCAGAGGACGACAGGTCGATTTGACGCAGACGGATGGACGAGGAGGAGGAGGAATGCAGATTACCTGAGAAAGCAAGCTGCAAGTGAGGAGGTAGGGCAGCCTGCGACCCTGACTGGAGACTCTTATACAGATCTGAGGAGAGATGGAGGGAAGATGAGAGGGGGGGAGATGACGCAAAGGAGGGGGGGGAGGCGTGTTAAATGGGAGTCCAGCAACAAAAGAGGAGAGGATCAAAGTCAGGTGGTGGCGAGGTACAAAAGGTTGAGATGACAGAGACGGACACAAAGGATGTGGAGAACAAAGGAGGGAGACGGTGGTTTATAAAACAAAATGGAGATCGTGGCGAGAGGGTCACAGCGAGAGATGAGGAGCACAGCAGGCACAGTGGAGGTGCTGCTGGTGTACTTCAGTCAGAGCACACATTAACATACACAAGGCTGGAATTTAAATTTAAACACTGTGAATAAGTAAATTGTTCCCATTTCTCAGTTAATTCCATCTAATCTATCCTGCTTTATTTATACACATATATTCTGTCTGTGTCTCTCTCAAATCTGCTTCACAGACAGCAGAACAATTTGAGGAAATTTCTATTTTTCTGACAAATGTTGCAGTTGTGATTTCAATTTCTATTTTAAACTCCAGCCCTGTGATGGTCGTCTTCATATTATCAAAGTAAGTTTGTACAGTCAAACGTATTTCTCTATAAAAAATAATAAAAAGATACTGTGATTAATTGCTTGTTGTTATGCGTTTATTTTTATTAAATAAGCTACAGCTGACTAAATTTGCAGGCTACAGTTGTCTTAAATTAACTATCAGTCCTAGCTGAACAAGTGTACTTTCATCTGTATAAATCCCTGCTGCAAGTAAATTATTCTTACAAAACAGTACAAAATACAGTATAAAAACTACTTTCATTTCCCTAAATATTAGGGGAATAAAAACAACTTGTTACTTTAATTACGTACTTTAAAAGATACTTTATTACTGGTGATATTCTATATTGTGAAAATACCAGACCAACAATGAATTGATCCAACAAGTATTGTTTGTCTGTTATAGCTTAATCCGCTGTGCCATAGAGCTGCAGTGTTGTCCAAAACTATTAAAAGTACATCAATGCGTGATCTGTTCCTTCATTAAGATGGACACAGGCACTGTAGTTTATGTTGAGTTGATCCCACACACACCGTCCTGCTGCTCGAAATACTCGCTTGTCCACCGTGACTGAAAGTAGTACCCAACAAATGTTTACTCCGGTTTGAATAAAGTTAGCTAAAAACTACAGTGCGCAGCTGTTACAGGACATTATGTAAGACATAAAAAAAATAAACTATTCATTACCTGTTTATTAAAGATCTTCACCTTTTCAGAAGAAGTACTGAGAGACCGTCTGATTCACTGATAGTTTTGGTCTTTTTATAGAATTTGTTGACAGGAAAACCTATAGTGTATCACCCACATTATCCTTTAAAAATAATAAAACCGAGAAGTCACTAACTGTGTCTTTTTGAAAGGGCCAAACACAAGGGGTCAGTACGCCTGAATCATTTTGTCTTTGGGTTGAAATCACAAATGTTGTTCCCTTTTTTTTAAACACTAAATCACGTGCTCACAAGTTGGGTGTCCACTCACCCATTAGGTCGCTCTGTGCTAGGGTGTATCCTGAGTTGGAGCTGGGGGCTGAGCCCATGCCAGCGATCCCTGGGGCTCCAGAAGGGTTGAAATTGATCAACGGGGGGAACTGGAAGGGCAGCGAGACCGGCACCAGGCCTCCCAACATCCCAAAGCCCAGGGGCAGACCGGAGGCGCTGCCCAGGAGGGAAGTGCCGGCTGTTGATACCTGCAGAAACGAGAAGCAAACAAAGATTGTTCTTCCATTTATTCAGAAATGTAACTCCAGTGTCCAAATTAGAGTAAAGCTAAATATGAAAGAACCTGTGAGAGGTGTGACGTTGTGGAGGACGTGGCCAAAGTTCCTGAAGCAGCCCAACCGTTTCCTGGCTTTGAGCTTTGGTTCGCCCCACCCACCACCCTCTGCCTCTGCCCGTGATTGGCCGAGACTGAAGGTGCAGAAGACAGGGGAGTTTTGTCTGGGCGACTGCACACGCTTGATATAACTCCCTTGTTGTTGATGGAGTTGTTGTTGATGCTACTGTTGCTCGTCGTGGACTGAGCTTTCTGGCCTCCAGCGAAACTGAAGTTGCCCTGCGTCTGCTTCACCTGCCCGCCGCCCGATACACTGAAGGGGGGGCGAAAAGTTTTGGGCGTTTTGGGGGAGTACTGGTGTTGTTGCTGTTGGCTGGGGATCATTTGATGGGAGAGCGGGTGTGAGGGCGAAGATGCCGGGGAGGGCGACGAGGAGGGAGGTGGGGTGGGGGCAGGAGGCCGAGGGGTGAGCTTGATGATGGGGGAGGAGTTGCTGCTGTGGGAGGACTTGGTGAGGGTGGCCTGCATGGGTGTGATGAAGTTGGCCTGGTGGAGATGATGATGATGATGATGATGTGTGTGGGATTTACCTTGAGAGGAGTGTGAGGTGTGGGAGGTTGGGGACGGCGAGGAGGCCACCGGGGAGGGAGGGCAGAAGGACTGCAGGCCAGGGTGGGTGCTAGAGTTAGAGCGGGACAGTGAGGAGGGGGAGGAAGAAGGCGTGATGATGATGCTGCTGCTGCTCACACTGCCGTTGCTGCTGATGCCGCTGGTTTTGGCACTGCTCTTGGCCAGTACATGAGGGGCTCCCATAGCTACCAGCATCCCTGCCGGGCTAACAAAGCCCTTCTGATGGGGGGGCAGCAGTGGGGAAGCGGTGGGAGGAGGTCGCTGCTTCGGGGGCGATGGGGACGGGTGTGGATGCATCTTGCCACTCACGCTCATCACCAAGCTTGGCCTGTGATTGGATGATGCCATGGTAACTAGTCTCTGAGTCTGGGTTTGGCCCATGGTGCCAGATCCTTTAATCAGGCCGTAAGGACCAACTGCAGTCCTGGAGGCCAGCGACAGGCCTGCTGCCTGCACACGAGCCAAGGAGGAAACAGCGGGAGACGTGGAAGAGGAGGTAGAAGAGGAGGTTAGTAGCGTTGTTGTTGTTGTTGGCAAGTTCCCAGCAGACGCCAGCGGGGCGGCCTCCACCTTAGAGAAGGAATGCTGCTGCGTTGTGGATGAAATGGAGGCAGAGAGCTGAGAGGCTGAGGGGTAATGAGGGGTGACGGGGGGAGGAGAGGTGGTGGGCATTTGCAGGGGTGGGGGCGACAAGGGACTGTCTGAGAAACCCAGGCCCTTAGATGCATTGCTGAGGAGGGCCAGTGCGTGGGAGATGGAGTCCAGAGAGGGAGCGCTCAGATCCTCATCCAGTGAGTCTGACAGACAGATGGGCTCGGGGGGCGAGGAAGAGAAGGGGGGCTGGCGGGTGGAGTTCAGAGTGGATACGGAGGTGGGCAGAGACGGGATGGAGGTCATCATGAGTGGTGGTTTGTGGATCCAGAGACCCTCCTAAAGACCAGAAGACATGTGATCAGTGTCAGTACCTCAGAGGCAGAAAGAGCCAGGCCTTTATTTCTTTTGTCATTTCCCTGTTTTCCAGTTAATGGAAACTCAAAACACATTATAAAAGAGTCAAAATGGCGACATCGGAGCAGAGCAGCAAATAAATCAACAGGACCGTAGTGCTTTAATGTGCAAAAGCTTCAGGAAGTGTTGAGTTCTGTTGACGGTATCTTAACATTGGAGCATCAGGAGAATAGAAAAGAAGAAACTACTTAGAGCTATGAAACATTATTTCCATTAAACAAGTGAAAGTTGCAGAGTGGTGAGTAGAACAGGAATCTGTGCTGTGGAAATGCGCGTATTACTAAATTTAGCATGCGAGCCGTTTTGTATTTTTGAGCTGGCCTTTATTTGTTAATGTTGGCTAAGCCCCCGGCTATTGTTTGAAACTAGCTTTTACACAATAGTTAGAGAATAAAAAAAAAAACATAAAACGAAACGAATACTGAAGAGCGATTCTGTATTCAGAACTGAGCCAACATGATACGAGCAGCCAAGACACATTATGAGGCACCAGGTACAGTATCATGTTGCTGCTTCATGATTAAATGTTGTTTGGAAAATTCAGATTAAATTATCATTGTGGGTTTAAAAAAAAAATAAACTGTACGGGAAAAATAATTTTTTTTTAGATATTATACAGTAAATGATCTGAGCCGTCACTCACCTTGGCTTTGGCCTTGGGCCCAGGCACCATTCTCCTCTTGACTCTGAATAACAAAATGCAGACAAATATTTACACTTTTCTATTTACAATTTGCATACAAGCCCAGTCTGTAAGAAAACCCTGTTAGACTGAAGTAGTAGTGTTCTTGAGATAAATATGTAAGTAAATACTTACAGGTTTCCAGTGAGGTGACTGTGAACAGCAAGACTCTCCTTGAGCAGAATCCTAAACAGAGAAAACACAGTGAGGACGAGAGAGGTTGGATCAATGCCAGGCTAGTTTTCTCAAGTAAATCTATACGAACAAAATAGTTACTAGAGTTAAAAGAACATCACTGTCAGGGATGTAGAGGAAAAGATGTTTCAATTACAACCAATGTGTCAAGTAGGGAAAAACATGGGACACCTGTGCTTCGTCTGTGTACGAGCAACACAAACGTCTGCAGTGATAGTACTGTAGCTGAGCCACACAAAAAATATGGTATGGAAATTTAAGTTGGAAGTGTTTTAAATATTGTTAAAGTAATATTTGTTTAACAATTATGTTCAAGCAAATATGGCTTTGACACTGTGACTTGGCTTACATGTTAATAGAAATAGCTTAAAGGTTGGCAAAATGCTAATATTTCTGCATGGCTAATGTGTGCAACATGTTTTAAACAACAGTATTACTCATTCAGTTCTGGTTTGCATGGCTGCATGTACTGAACTATGATCACTGTACTGTCGCATCAATGTTTTGCCAGATTTGTCTCATGTATGCTGGTTTTGTTGCTGTTGTTTTGGTGTCTTAATGCCGTGTGCCTGTATCTCTCACACCGTCACTTCATTGGTTTTAGAATACCTTACAGTTGAAGGTTAGCAAGCTGGCTAACATTGGCACATTGACAGAAATGTTGATTAATGAGCGTCGTCGTTACAAATAATGAAATGAACACAGTCCGGCAAAAAAAGAAAATTAGCTGCTATTTACAACAAACTGTAGTCTGGTGAATGTATGCACATTTCCCATCGAAACAAACTTCTCTGAAAAGAAAAACGTAACATAACTAAATTCTAGTTTTACAGTCAACTCCCCTGTTCTCTACCGGGAGAATTTTCAGTAATTGCCTTATCGCCATGAAGGAATTTGTTCACCAGCTGTTATGTATAATGGCTATTTGAGCACAACACACACACACACACACACACACACACACACACACACACACACACACAGACACACAGACACACAGACACACACACACACACACACACACAGACACACACACACAGACACAGACCTGGCCTGCATCCAGCCCTTGGGCCATAGTGGTTTGACCTCATTCTCTAAGAAGGCCTTGAGGTAGTCCTCCACAGACAGAGAGCACTGGTTCTCCATCTCGTAGCAGCTCAGCTTCACTCGCACCAAGCTGCACAGCAGGTTCCTGCACAAACACAAATGTTCAATTCAAAAGGAAATCCTTCACTATTAAAATCTAAATTAGGCTGCAGGTGTTTAGCACATAATGACAAAGGAGGCCGTTATTCTTCAGGGAGTCAGAGGTAATCAAAAAACCATTTCTGAAAATGCCGAGGTTGTTACGAAAATGAATGATGATTGAAACGCTGCTGAGCAGAGAGTCAGTCTCAAGGGTTCTGTAATTACATCAGGACAGTCGTACTCAGGGTTTCCACATTCATGCAGGAATAAAATGCAGAGCTTTCCTAAGAAACTTTAAAGGGGAACTTCGTACACATCAAAGTCAGTTTGCACGTCTTGGGAGAATTCTTCTGCACATGTGAAAAAGGTGATGTCACTGCAGCGTCAAAATAACACGACATCTCTGCTTCTGTTGCATCGATTTGGATATTATTTCTTGTTTGGTTTTGGAATAATCTCAACTCCGGTGCCGTTTTTTCCCCCTCATTCATTTTCAAAACCCAAATGCCTTATTTTTCTCTATCCCAGCCAAATTGAACAATCTTTAAAACCTGTGTCAGATCTGTTGAGTAGATTAGACACAGACAAGGGAGAACAACAGTAAAGATGAAGACAAGGGACAGAGCAGCGAGGACACAAACCTGTAGCATAACAGAGCACACCATCCAGCCAGCTATTCCAGCAGGACAGTCCCGGATCATTACCTGAGCTTGTCATCCCAGGCAAACTTCTTCCGTGGGCCCATCACCCTTTTCCCAGGCTTTTCCTCATCTTCCTCCTCTGAGCCATTCTTATCGCCCTCTTCTGACTGCAGCCTGCAGGAAACACACACACAGTCAGTAACATGTAAACGTACAAGCATACATTCACAAACAGTTTGAATAAACTTTATTGTATAATGATTTCTACATTCGCATAGGTTTATGGTAAGATTTGCTTACTTTGCAACCTTGGCCATGCAGTCCATGTTATATCTGGCTATTTGCTCTGGCATCACACTACACACCGCCAGCTTCAGCTTCAACAGCGGCGTCCGCAGACGATCATCCTGAGAGAGAGAGAGAGAGAGAGAAGGGGTGGTTGTATTAAAGACAGCGGGAGGACAAGAAAGAAAGAAAGGTGGGGAAACCCAAAAACGTTGGAGGGAGAAAATTGAAGTCAGAGTGAGGAGAATGGGATAAGATGGGAGCAGGGCAACAGTGGGAGTTAAGAAAAAGACAGAAAGGTAAAAGGAGAAGAAGAAAGGAAGAAAGAAAAAGAGGAAGAAGGGGCATCAACAGAAAGAGTCAAAGAGGGAGTAAGTCAATGTATTTAGACAACACTGCTACTTTAATGGTCCATGACAAAAGACATTTAAAAGTCAGTTTTCAGTGGCAGTCATCATTGCACTCGTCAGCCTACACTGAGATCCCTGCACGTTAACAACTGAAGCAGAGAAGATGTCGGAGGATTAAAAGCTACATGAAAAGGCACAAATAATGTGGAGAAACTGGAGGGTCCGTTTTAAACAACAGGAGCTCCAACGAAGCAGCTAAAATGCACAGAAATATCGCTGAAACTCAGAAAACAGATGCTTTGTAGGAAACACTCAGAATATTTAGTTTGTTTGTTGTGAAAACTCCCCAAATAATTGTGTGGTCAAAGACAAGCATGTGTGTGTGTGCCACAAGGGAGCATAATACATCACTGGTATGAAGCACTACAAATAAAAACAAAGTAGCAGTTAGAGGAGTAGAACAACTACCAACAGAACTTCAAATTTCAAAGATTGTGAGAGACACTTCGTTGCTTCTGAATATGGATTATATTAATACTTAAACTTTCAAAAATGATAGCAGCGCACATTTATGTGTTCAACAGAGTTCAGCCATGTATCATTTACAAGATTATAGTCTGAACGTTTAACAGGGCGACTCTGCTTTGTTATTGGTAGAAGTTGCTGCAAACATTTTTAATGTTGTGGAGCACTAAAGTTGAAGTAGTGTCCAGCATTTTTTTTGTAACTTTCTGAAAACGACAACAATCCAACTGCACACCCACTTCACGCAGCGATTGGCCAGGTGTGTAAATATGTGAAAGTATGCAAGATCTTAACTTCTCTCTCATCCTCAACAGTTGGTCAATTTTCATGTGTACAACGTTATGAACGCCTTGAAGAAGGGGCCGCATGCGTCCATGATCCCCTTTTAAACAGTCATCACGTATCTCATGACAGCAGCTTTTGCCTTCAGCTGTGGTCGGTCAACATTTAACACTAACTTCTTCTTCTTTGAAGCATCCAAAATTCTGAAGTTCGGTTATTGCTGGGATTGCAGGGACCGTTGGTCTACTGCCTTGTGTGGAAACCAGGTAAACAACAAAGAATGAAGACGATCTCTCCTGAAATGCTGCAATAATCGGGTTTGTGGGCGTTCTGTGAACGTGAGGAAAACAATATTTTCCCAATGGCTGGCTACTCCATATCCTTGTGGGAGGCCCCAATTACTGTACACAGCCTACTTACAGTCCTAAAGAACACTCATATTAAAACTAGTCATTGGTGACCAACCAACATCTCTTACTGTCCCACCATTCACAGCAGTCTAGAACCGGCACCGGCTTCCTCCAGAGCTGAGCCTCACTTACCTGGATGTTGAGACTGAGCTTCTTCAGGCGTTTGAGGAGGGCTTCTTTATTGCACGGCACAAATGCCTCCATGTGCGAGTAGATGCCCAAGCGCACATCAGGAGGCTGCTCCTGGACCTGTAACTCGATGCTGAGGAGGAAAAAGAGGAGGGAGAAAAAGCCACAACTGTGAGGTCATAAAAATCAAGGAAATGGATGGAGGTGATGGTGGAGGTTGAAAAGGGAAAAAAAAAAAAGAAAAAAAAAAAAACATGATGGGATACAGAGTGACAGAATAAAAGAAAGATGGGAGATTGAAGATTGGGGAAGAATAAAGCGTAGTTGTGCAGAATGAGAAGAGGGTGAACATCAAGTTGAAAAAACAAGAGAGCTGAATGGAAATGAGAAGCATGTCATTAACACAGACAATGAGAGACGGAGAGAAAACAAAACACTTAGAGACAGCAGGAGAGGTGGTGAGGGAAATCTGCAGAAAATGAGAGAGAAACACTGAAGAGGAGGACGGGTGTGCTGGGATTGGGCCGACGGTGATTTAAAAGCTGTCCTACTCACTCCAGGAGAATGTTATTCATGTCCAAGGTGAAAAATTTCTTCCTGCCCTCTTGATCAAACTGCCGCGAGGCCTGTGGGAGAAAAAGTGGAGTCAGCATTTCCACTGTTCCATACAGTACAGATACATATACATGCGTCTGTGATGCTGTGCCTTCCGGGGACTTTGTACTGACAGAAACACCCAATAGGTTTGGCTTGTTGGGCTCTTCACTTTGACTGGTGTGAAAGCTGCCAAACAAACTCAAACGATCAAATCACTAGGCGGCAATTCTAGCATGAGTTAAAAAGGACTACTGTTAAATCCACCTGTTGATCGCAGGAACCGTCAAGGACCTCCTGGTCTGTGTCGGCGATTTAACAACGCCATGTAGTGAGCAGAGTGGCAACACCATCAGCAAGTGAGTGCCCAAACTCTCCCTGATCGATCAATCACAAAGTGTGAACTAATGACAACAGCATGTGTTGTGCTTTAGTCCTGCTCCACAGCAACCTCCTCTGACAGTCGGGTACAACCTCTTTTCCGTGAATTTCTACCTTGAAAGTCAGTTGCAGTCTCGACAAACAATGCTCATAATCAGCTATTTCGTTGCAAACTTGTGTGACCCCCCCCAGCTAAGAACAATGAAGAAAAATGCACAAAAAGTACTGCATGATCTGCTGCCTGTTTCACCCACACACAGAGCCGATAATATAGCACAGCAGTCACCAAAACTGTCCCGTTGCTCTGAATAACTTACAGCTCTTGGTTTGTTTGTAAAAAGTCAATCTGAATGCAAAACAGACAAGAATTTAAAGGCCACAATGAACAGTTGTTTGCTGGGTTTGGACCAAATGAGTCACTCAAGTGACTCTTACTTTGATGAATTAAAAGAAATGCTGCTTGCTAAGTTTGAATCTCCCAAGCCTTCCCCATATCTCTGTTATCTTTGGAAGCAACCAAAAAAAAAAAAAAATCAATGGCTTTATTTATTTCTCGGCCTCCCTCCTCCTCACTCTTCTCTTCTTTACCTCTTTATAGTTCACTTGAATCATCCTTTTCACCTGCCTTGCTCTGCCCGTCTTTGCATTTGTTTTCAACATCTAGAAAAACAATTCTCAGCTACAAATGGACTCTGTGGCTGCAAGGTATAAAAGCAACAAGAAAATAAGAACTTTTTTCAGAGGCAGTGATGCTAACCCTGCTGTTTCAGTACAACAAAAAAACCTTTAGGGTTCAGCTTGGAGCCGTGTTTCTCCAAGGCTTTAGAAGAGCCTATTCTCGTTGGACTAAACAATAAACTTGTTGTGCCACTTCCTGAGCTTATGGGCATTTGCGTTTCAGCCGCCCACAGACGGGCTACAGTTGACTCACCGCCCGCAGGTCCTCGATGCGTTTAATAAGCGGAGCAGGCAGTCCATCAGGCAGCAGAGGCGGAGAAAACAGTCCGCTGGAAGACCCCAGGCCTCGCCCTTGGCCACTTCCTCCTGCTGCTGCTGCTGCTGCTCCTTTAGAGCCCGGAACACCGACTCCCAGAATGCCATTCTCCCTGGCCGCCACCATGGCGTGCTGCTGGTCAGTGTCCAACACACTGAAGTCGAGGTCGCCTAGGAGATCCTGCAGCTCCTTCTCATTGGCCGAGCCTAGCAGTGACATCACAGCGGGGTCTGAGGTGAGGTCAGCCAGTGACAAGTCGCTGCCGGCTGTGGTGGCCTGCGGATGGGTGGAGTTAGAGGCCAACAGGTGGTTCGTTGAGTTGGTGGACTGTAGCTTGTTAGCCACAACTCCTGCCAAACCGGGCTGAGCCACGCTCGTGTTTCTTTTCCTCATCTCCTCCTTCTCCCGGGTGAAGCGGCGGAGCATGGCTGCCAGGTACAGCGAGTCCTTCATCAGCTTCTTCCTCTTCTTCTTCTCTGGCCGGTGGAGGGTTAGGGCTGTCACTCTGTTGGAGGAAAGCATTGCAGTGCCTTGTTAGCAAAATGCTTAATACCTGTTTTACATGAATGGCGATACAGGTCCTCAAACTGCATCTGGATTTTGTTTCACGTTGACACCGAGTACGCTTTCATGCAAATGCGTATCCAGGTTTTGATTGTATTCAGGATATGACGTTTGACCAAACACTTGATTCAGCCTGCCCGTTTACATAATTCAATCAGTATTCCGTTTACTGATAATCTGTGTGCAGTTGTGTATTGATTCGTCAACATCTCAGTCACTATGTTCTGTACCAACAGAGAATGATAAAAAAATGTGTGTTTACATGCCACAGTGTCCCAGTTCCTGGAGTACTGAGGGATACTCCAAAAATGTATCATAATATATTTAAATATGGGAAGAGGAACTGAGTGTTCTGCGGGCTAACCTGCAGGCTGCTATGAGAGATCTAACACACGCCCACACACACACACATATGTAACATCATCTGTTTCATAATGCCACAATAGAAATAGCTGCTACTATTTTTGGAGGTTACTGTCAGCGTGGTGGCATGTTGCAGTATTTGGCCTATCTGAGCGTGGATCATGGAGTGTTTTCTGGCTCGTCACCGCAACTAAGAGCAAGTCACAGTCAGCATCGCTGCCTCATGATAGATGTATGAGAGGATCCGCACAAAAGCACAGGAGCATAATGTCACACCGGGAGGTGGATTATTAGCGCAGTAAAGAGTGGACAAATGCATCATCCCATATTCACAGTGGCCCACAAATCTACGGGTGTCCAAATGTCATCTTCTCAAGCACAGGAGAGGAACATTTCTATTTAAATAACAGCGTCTATGTGACATTTACTTTTAAAATAGCTTGGCTTAATGGTTATAACTCATTCGATTAGGTGGTAGCTTTTCCTAAAAGGGTTATAAGGAAAGTGACGAGACACAATGCAGCTTGCTCACCTTCTCATGAGCCATTTTAATAAACATAGACCTAAAAATCCCTTCCATGAATAAGTCAAATTCATCAACTGACACAAGACGACCACAAGTGTGAAGACAGACGGTAATATTGCATCGTCATGATTCTCACCCTTGTTTAGGTACTCTGTTCTTCTTCGGGTTCTGCTCTTCCAGATTATTCACTTCCTTCTTTTTCCTCTTCTTAATCACCTGCTCCTCGTTGTCATTCGGCTTCTGAAACGAAAGCACACACACTCCTTAACGCAAAGAAGCAGAAGACAACAGTGCACAGTGGAAATTAATTAATTCTGTCTGAGGAACGCACGCTGTGCTCTCTGTGTGTGTGTAGGTGTGTGTGAGAGAGTGAAAGAGTGAGCGTGCACCAGTATGTCCTTCAGAGATTTTCCTTGACGTGGTGACGGATAACATCTATAACACGTTTCACTAAACCCACTGAAAACCAATCTCCTTTTGGGAGGACACTGACGTGCCCGTTCAGATCCTGCCGTGTCATATGGTTCAATAACAACGGGAAGTAAGTTTTTGCAATATTGTTCATCAAAATGAATAGATGCCACACACCTCTTCTCTAGGAAACCCTGATTTATTTACTCCGGAATAAAGCATGCTTTGGTATTAAAGCTCAGACTTCTTAAAGCCAAATAAAACCATGTAATTGATAACTTCTAAAATGCATTACAATTTCCAAGATCGCCATTTGTCCTCAGGGTCCAACGTGTTGTTTTGCCTCACTGAACTTTTGTTTTGTTTTTGGGAGGTAGTGCATTAAAAACAAACCCTAAAGTCTACAGCGCAGCTAGCAGCTCTGTGAGGCTGTACTTAGGCACGGCAATGTTCTGAACTAAATGCTAATGCTAGCATGCTACCATGCTCACAATGACAATGCTGGTGTCAAAGGAATACTTCCCCCATAAAATGATCACGTCTACATCAATTACTCATCCCATGTCACCTTCTTACAGAAAACGTTGAACCATCTCGATGAATTGAAGTCGCGTTTGACAACAGCAAAACTATGTCAAAACATCTGCTCACAAACTGTCACACATGCAGAATAATCCAAGTCTCACTTACCCATTCGTAGGCTCACTACTTCCCACACAAATCTTAACTACTTAAAACAATTCTACATTAACTGTCTCACACCGGAGTGTATTAAATAGGAAGCTTTTAGCCAAGCTGCATGTTTGGGAAGTACTTAGCCTGAGACTTGAATTACATGCCCGAGTTGTGTGAGAGTTTGTAAACAGATGTTATGATGTAGTGTTGTTAAAAGCAGCCCCCATTTACTTTATTTCATCAAGACTTTTCTACGTTTTTTTGATTCTTCATTCATTTTGGATTCATGCGAGAAAAACTTTTTCGTCAAGAATTCAAGGAGACACTGGGCGAGTAATTGATATGCGTATAATATTGCTAGTTTACATCAAGGACCATAATGGAAATGAGTTTTGGACTTTGTGTCCTCCTCCTCATCTTATGTGTAATTTTATACTCGCTCTCATATAACTCTTTCTCACAAAGTCAAATAAATTAAATCCAACAAACATTTTCCCGGCCTGAAAGTGATTTTGAAAACCCTCGAATAACAGATTCCTTATGTTCCGTCCTGAACGTGTTAAAGTAGTCTCACCTGGTCCTCCTCTGGCTCCGAGTCGGATGCCGCTCTGAACTGCAGCGTGCCGGTGTTGATGTAAAATCCCCCCAGCTTTGTGGTCAAAGAGGCAGGAACCAGCTCATCATACTGAGAAAAATAACAATAGAAGACAGTTTGTAGTAAAACATCGCAGTAAATCCTCTTACACAACAAAAGCGGATCCTGTGATAATGTTTCTTCATCATTTAAAAAAAATAAGCCGGTGCTCCAGGCCACAGATGAAACACTTTTCCATCACTGAGCATATCAAAACAAAAAGGAAAAGAAAAAAAGGGTCAAACAGGCACTGCAGAAGAGACGGCTATCAAAAACAAATAGCATATAATAGCAGATATTCCATAAAAAGAGCATGATTATAGCTATTACATTCAGAGTGATATCCTCTGAATACGGAGCAACAATCACCGTCAAAGAAAACCAATGACGTATCCCTGTGTGGACACGAGCAGCACATACGTATTTATGAGTCACGAGGATGATTTTAGACCACAGGCTCAGGTTGGTTGTAAGAAGGGACAAGGGTCTATGTTTAGAAGAGCCACTGAAACATCATGCCAGGAAATAAATATTTAACAGCCGAGGAACAATGTCTACCTCAACACAACAAGAAACGAGATCAGCAGTTCGGGAATGTGACGAGGACGGCGAATTAATCAGCAGATAATACGGGAGAAAAGAGAACACTGTGCAACGTTATTATTAAGACTGAAGGGAGATATCTGACTAATTAAAAGTGACATCCTCAAAAGACACTAAACCATAGGTGAATAATCACCTCATTATCAATAAAGTGAGGGGCACTCACAGCTTCGGTGTTGTCGATAAAGGGGTCTGTGTCGTCGTAGCCAAAGCCTATATCAATCAAATCTTGCATTCTGTCCTTCTTCTTCTTCTTCTCCTCTGTGTTACCCTGAAATTTAAAAATATTATATAATATTAAGTTTGGATTTTGATTCCCATGAAAAATTCCCTCACATTTATTGTAATCTAAATCTTAAAATAGCCCCTTTTCAGAGTGAGGATTTACAAAACGTCCTTGCTTTGTGTTTTTCTGGGTATTTGGTCCTCAGACACGTTGGAGAACTAAAGCCTGACTGATGAATCCATCATGCCCATATAGGCTTCTGATAGATACGTGCTTATTAGCCGAAAAGAAATGCCAAACATACGTTTGAGCTCTTCCATAAATGTTTTATTTTAAATTTCATAGTATGTCCACCACAGAGCACTGACTAGTTTAATTTTTCAACTGTAAAATGTTCCAATAATTATGTATCTGGGTACGAATTCTTTAAAAACAAACACAAAACAGGGATTTCTATCAAAAAATGTTTATGGTTGCCATTAATATAGAAAAAAAATAATAATAGTATCAGACATTGCATTGTTATTGGATATTTAAATTCTCAGATATCAATATTTGCTGAGATTTTGCTATATAAATGAAATTTACTTGACTATAACAAGTAACTAAATCTAGAAACAAACAGTAATTTAAACCTATATTGCAGCCAATACTATCTTATTGTATATCGTGGTATTGATGATTGTGTGGGTCCATGAGTAACAAGAAGTCGCAGTACAGAAATACCAAAGACATATATACGAGGTCATTCAGAAACAGTGTGGCCATCACATGGATTGTCCCCCAGAGAGAACTGGCAAGTTGATTATTCAACTGTAAGATGTCCAGCTCATATCTGTGTACGTTTTGTGTTCATCAACAGATAACACGATTATCAGAACTCTCAAATATTAATATTGGAATCTGCCTCAAAAATCCCAACATCAGTCAGGGTATAATTCTAACGTGATCAAATTCGAAACACCTCAGAATAGAAATAGAATATAATATAATAACTCACATATTTATTGTCAAACTTTTTTGCCAGGGCCTCGACCTGGAGCCGCTCTCTCTCGTCGTTGTTGAAGAGGTCGTTGGGATTGTGAGCTGAAGTCAGACTTGGAGGATTATTCTTTACCTGGAACAAAAATGATTTACATTAAATATTATGAACAGGAATAATTACATATCAGAGCTATGGTTCAAGTGCCTCTCACAGTAAGTACTCAACTATAACTAAACCTCAAGGAAAAGAAAAGTCAAATTGGCAAAACTATTAGCATCAAACTTAAAATAAATAAGGAAAAAACACAATATGCCAAACAAGGTGCTTTAATTATACTGTGGTTTTGCCACTCATGTAAAGCATAATATGATAAACTGGATTATCATTGTCAAAATGAGGCGAGCTTCTCTCTGATCTCTCAGCTCTGACATTTGCCTTGCTCCCATGCTACATCCTGGTACTTCCATCAGCAATGCTCTATCATCTATCTATCACCCGCAGCCAGAGGGCCAAGCTGCATGTGGCACTTCCAAGTGCTGTAATGGCTGTGTGTATGGGGCTGTTGCTGGGCAAGTCTGAGTGAACAGGACACAGGTAGCAGCACGAGATGAGCACCATCTATCTCTACATGTTGAAACGAGAGGAGGTCCCCCGACAAGAAGCTAGAATCTGACAAGAGCGTAGCAGAAGTTGGATAGCACACAGAGTGGACCGGCTGGCTGCGTGGTCAAAAAGACTGCTGCCGTCTTTTGTGTTGAGTCGTACTAATGGTCAGTTTCAACCACGCCAGTCCACGGAAGGACACGGTGCACTTCCCCCTCTCACTTAGCAATGACAAGTCTACACAAACACTTGCCAAAGCAAATAGAATGAACTCCAGCTGCTGTGTCAGCCGGCCTGGTGGTGTTAGTCAAACTGGGAGACCTTACCTGGAGGTTTTGGATGAGTTCACCGTAATTAAACTCGGCGGAGGAGCGGTCGTCGGGCTCCGGTAGGGTCAGGTTGAGCCGCACCGTCGCCCTCTTCTCGGCTCCAGCCTTCTCCCTGTCGCCGTCGCTGGCAGCACCCCCTGCCCCGGTCGCTGCCTCGACCTCCCCGGCTCCACCGAAGTTGAAGTCGGCCTCATCCTCCAGCCGGCGTTTCCTAGACTCCGCGGCGGCTCCCGCTGCGAAGGCCGAGAGGGTGACAAATTGCACTTTTCTCGGTTCGGCCATTTGGATGAGCTGCCTGCCTGAACCTCGCTCCGGACAGACAGCGGCAGCGAGGAGAAGAGCTACTTCGCGAAACTACTCCAAATTGGGGGATTGAAGAAGGTTTCGCGAAGCTCCGACGGCTGCTCAGTGCCTACACGGGTGTGTGGGCCTCCTCCGCACCATACGAAATGAACTCCAGGGGTTGAGACGGTCGGGGAAAAGTTGTTTCTACGGCAGCTACTTGCATCCTCAATTTGCTATGGGGACAAGACATTCACAGGAGCCATCTTGGGTTTTGGGAGTAAATAAAATATCAGAAGAGAGAGGTCGCTGCGCCTGCGCGTACGCACAGAACGGAAGCATCGCGTCACGTCCAATCACCGCGTGCCCCGATCCTAAGCCCGCCTCTGTCACAACTGGCGATAATAACAACACTGTTAGTACTATTATGACCTTTATAAAGTGTCTGGGAGAAGGACAGGCTGTGGGAAATACACACCACATGCTGCGTGTATTCAAATATCGATTAACTGATCTCAATTTAACAATCGACGGCTTTCAGTGGAAGCTTTTCTTTCTGTCTATTCAGGGAAATGCTGAATTGTGCATTTCTCTACAATGGCACCAGCACACACTCAAACATCAAATCCTGAACGGAAGAAAGCAAGCCAGGTGGTTGGCTGTCTCAGTTAACCCGCACAACACAGCTGATTTAAGAGGAGGCACTACTCACCACCTGTTGATATTCAGTAAGGGACCTGCCCTTTTTATTACAATAAACTGTGAAACCATTGAAATCTGACATTGATGCTTGTATTTTATGTACGTCTTTGGTAGAAACCACGTCTGGATTAACCTGTTAGAAAGCCTCAGTGCCAGATTTAGTTTTGGGCCCCTATTAACCCCCCACATACCGCCCCCTGTGCAATTTAGCCAGTCCTGTTGAATTGCAAAATTTGCAATTGAAAGATCACTTCACAGATTGTATGCATGATGATCAGTTTAATCATGAGGAATACAGCTCCCCTTAGTGTGAAACAATTTGCGTCCACACTAGTGTTATAATGTGTGTGTATGTATATATATATATATATATATATATATACATACCACTTGTCAAGATGCATTTACAAATTAAACCACCTTAATGTGAACAAAATGTCTTCTGTGGCTCTGGAGGAAAATAACCCTGATGGTGTCATTAGGCTCGGGTTGGCCTTCAGAACTATTTTGATGTAAAATTATTTGAAAGGAAAGGGCATTAAAACAAAAAGGTACGGTTTGTTGAAATATGCTTTTGAGTTGCATGATGGGAACTGTAGGATCCAGTGTTTTTGAATCTTAATTTAAACTGCAGACTACAATTTAGGACTTCTCTGCCTCAGCTGCTTTTATTGTTATACTAACAGCAAAAGGTACATTTCATGCACCAATTTATGTTAAAGAAAACTGCAACTTTGACGCCATTGCCAAATACATGTCACAAAGGAAATAAATCAAAATGTTTTTTGCCAGAGAGTTACTTATCAAATAATACTTTTGTTAGTTTATTCAACATCAAAATCTTTCTTTAGCTCTTGATAATCCTAATAATTCATTTTTGTCATGCGCTCGTTTCTTTTTTTTCCCTTTTCTCTGCAGTATTTGTTCATATCTTGTTTCTGATTTCATACAAATCAATCACTGACAAAACCGCAAAACCCATTTACGACAGTCACATTTTAATACAAATATATAAAGAATTGCAATTCAAAACGTACATATTTTCACAACAGAGTGGCAGAGATAATAGTTCCATAGTTTTTCATGGGGCATAGATTCATTCAAGTGAAATAACCAAATGCACTATGACTGCTGATGTCTGCATAATGTAGCTACTCTTGATTTAGTGAGCTGGAGTTCAGTACCCAAAGCTTTCATGTGAGGAGAACTTTGTGGTCCTTCGCCCACTTCTTCAGAACTCGGATGATGTATTCAACTTGGGAGTTTCCTGAATTTCGTAGCAGAGACAACACCTCTTTAAGTGTCTCCCTAGAACACAAACATTAAATGTGAGGAAACGAGATCCGATCAAGAATGAGCCATCTCTCATATTTCTGTTATTTAGACATCACACCCATCCACTCAAACAGACCACAAACGTTTACTATGTCAGTCCAGATGTTATTCACTTTCACTGGGTAATGACAGAGATCTCTTTCACACAATGTTTTGTAACAACAACAAAAACAACTAGAAAAAAAGGTTAAATATTTAATAATAAAATTATTGCAGAAGAAAAAGAGACAAACATACCAAGACTCCTTGTTTGCCAGTACGAGCTGGAAGATGCCGACACAAGCCCCTCTCTTGCCCTCCCAGTAGTTGGATCCTGGGTCCAGTTTCTCCAGCGCATCGAACGCTTTAGCTGCATAGTAGAACTGACCCATCTGAAACAACAAGCTGTGGTCATCAGCACTATTATGCAAAAACAAATGACTTTTCCAGGCACAAGTTGTACCTATTTACCAGAATAACATTTAGCATCAGATGAAGTTCATCCAGGACAAAACATTTTTGTGACGCCTGCTTATGCTTTTGGTTGCATTTCAAAAATATGGTGGGAAAACTGAGGACATTTTGGTGGACGACACCTCTAATAACATAAGGACAGCTTAGCTAAAATGTGCCGATGAAAGTCAATAGAGCAGAGCGAAAAAACAGGCAGGTAGAAAACGAATTTACCTCCATTTAAGGTGACATTTGGAGATCAAGATTACATTTACAATTTAAATATACGAGTTCTAAAACTATTAGTCGATTGACAGAAAACTAACCGGCAACTATTTTGTAAACGTATCGATTGTTTTGAGTCACTTCTTCTCAAGCAAAAATAATTATGCTGCCAGCTCCTTAAAAATTAGAATATTATGCTTTTCTCAATTTAATATCACTAGGAAGTGAATACCCTTTGGTTTCAGACGGTTGGTAGGACAAAACAACACCTTGGGCTCTGGAGAATTGTGATGGAAATAATCAGCAAATTAACCAACAATAGAGACAATCATTAGTTGCAGCACTATACTTAAATTCAAAGGAAGACGGCAACTAAACATTCATACTAGGGCTGCAACTAAAGAACTAAAAATATTTATTAATCTGTTCAAATAAGAAAAAAGTCAATCACAATTTCCCAGAACCTAATGTTCTTCAAATGACTTATTTTGTCTGACCAACAGACCAAAGCTGAAAGATATTCAATACATTATAATAAAAAAACTGGAGCTGGAACTGAAGAGTGTTCCAGCTCGAAATATGACAATGAAATATGAGATACAATTGACTATCAGAATTGGGAGCATAAATTGACTAATTGTTCCACCAATAATTCATTAATTTACAATTAATTTATAAATACATTTTTAAGCGGTCACCCCGAGAGGCAGATAACGGAGGATGGAGTCACCTTGTAGCAGTCGTTGGCAATGAGCTGCAGCAGACTGAAGGAATCGGAGGAAGTGCCCATCTTCAGATAAAGCTCCCAGGCAAGCCGACCTCTCTGGGTCATTATGTCTGACAAGAACAAGATAAGTGTTCAATCATCCATCAGTCGCAGGCAGCGTCAGCAACTTTTATAGATTCAGATTTGTAAAATGTGAAACGCCTGTGGACAGGTGTTATTGATGTGGATTAAGCCAAGAAGGGGAGAAATATCTTTAAATGGAGATATCTTTTTCTTTGAGCTGCTGAGGCGCAAGAATGAACCTACGTTCTTTAAAAACCTACGGCTAGAAATCTGGCAGTGATGTTTGACTCAGCCTCAGTGAACAACTACACAGGCTTCCTCAGTCTTGCTTTGTCCAACTTCAGATCTGTGAGAGCAGTCTTCATGCTTTCATGTCATCGGGTGTAGACTGTGACTGTAACTTGGTTCAAGTATACCTACAAAAAGCCTCTTGCTTACGTGCAGCTGGCGCTAAATGCAGCAAGCCTATCGGCGAACACTTGGGGACTGGATGATATTGCTCCAGTTATGACTTGTCATAAAGTATACAAAATGTCTACTCCCAGCCTTCTCGCTGAACAAACACCTCACCAGCAGTCTGGCATTGTGACCCAGTATTCTCACGCTGGCGGCCTGTTGCATTATCAACCCACAATTAATCAATAACCTATGAATCCTTCTGAACCAAAGCTTAGCCTGAGAACTGTTCAGAGTTGAAAAACTGGACCTGTGCTCTGATTTCTCAGATATTTCATTCTTTTAAGGTTTGTTTACAATTCCTTGTCAATTTTAAATGTATGTTAAGTTGACAGACATGTGTATGAATTGTGCTACAGGAATGACTTTGCCTTGCAGAAAAGATTTTTGGAATGAAATATACTATCAACAGTACGACTACTATACATACAGCACCGTGCCAGCCAGCTGAGGTAAACATAGTCATTCTTGATCTTTTCATTCTGAATCAGCAGAAAAACCTGAAAGAAATATTAAAATGAGTCCAAAACAATAGTCAGCAAGTCATCAGAATTGATCAAAGTCTGTAGATAGCAGTTGTGTAGATGTGTGACGAAGCAAAGTACCTCTTTTGCTTCTTCGTAGTTGCCAAGGGCTGCTTTAGCCTGAGCATAGTTGAAGTTAAACGTGTCATCACTATAGAAGTAACCCTGCAAATAAAAAGCACAATAATGCCGACAGAAAAAGGTGAAGTGTTCACATGTCCAACAAAACGTTGATACAAAAGCGCACACACACACAAATGTGCTGCATCTGTAAAGAACCACTTGTCATCTGAAGTGACACTTGTCACCCAGTGTGTGGGAGTGTTTTTAAACTCTCCAACTTACATACTGATACCACTGTGAAGTAACCTCTGTGCGATTCTTCACTGGAATACATCATTTAATGTGTGCCTTGTACTGAGCAACACTAACCTTGACTGAGTTTAGATATATGAGAACGTCTTCAAACTTTCTCAAGAGGAAGAAGCAGGAGGCCATGCATTGTCTGCCAGGAATAGTGTCTGAAAGTGAGAAATCTGTTACACACACATCCTCACAGTGTTGCTTTAAAAGCTCATATTGATCAAATTTCTATTCAATGTACCACATTCGCTGGCCGAGCCGCCAACCGACTGAAAGAACTGCTGAGCAGTTTTCAGGTAATCCCTCTGAAAGAGAAAAGCACAACAACAAACGTTTATCTCTCGGAGTAACTCTTAGAACATTTGTTGTGCGTGCGTGTGACTATTTATTTCACAGAAATACTCACTGATCCAATTTCTTGTCCCAGCGACGCATTTACCACTCCTTTCAAAATATACTCCTGAGAGAATAAATGATCAAGTAGAATATCTTTGTATGATGTCTTTAAAGAATTTAAAGAATGTAAAAAGGTAGAAAGGCAACACCGATTTTCTTGACACTTTAAAAGCGATAATTCACTTGTGGATAATATATAAGTTATTAAACAAGGAGTTTATCAATCCTATGATCTATTTTTTCATTGCTGCTTCAGATCCCATCAAAATCCCCCTCAACAAGTTAAAAAAAAAAAAACATAAAAGAGATGCAATACACTCCGTCAGTTTCACAGGCTTTCAGATCCAGGCGACATTGAAGATAAAACATAAAAGAAAAAGGCTCCTCAGGAAATATAAATATATATTTAATGTTTTCATTAAGTTATTTATTAGCTTCATCTAATCTGGCTTGATTCTGGTTTTCAGTGTAACTTATAAAAACCCTTGAAAGCAAAACACTCAGTATTAGCTATGGTTGAGGCTAAATGAAGCTACTGTTGTATTCTTCATGTTAAGAGTGAAATTGA